TGAGATTACAGCAATGAGTTTAGTTTCCAAAAAAACAGTTTTATGCATTTTAGAAACATTTAAAGACCAATCATTGTCTTTCAGTCTCCAACTGTAATTATGTCAAATCTAATGTGTCTAAACTTATAAACATTTTAGTCATAAAAACCATATGAAAAAGAATCAATATCATAAAACATCAATTCCCTTCTTTAACTGACTGAAGCTCCTTTCACTTACAGCAGGAAAGTTCCTTGAGCTGCTGTTGCAGAGTGATGGAGGCGTTGTAAGTACGAAACACCTTTGCGGTCAGTCCATCCATCAGCTCCTGCAGGTGTTTATTCAGAATAGACGTCTGTATGGTGGGGGGGCAAGAGACAGCAGAGTTAGGATAAACACACACAGAGATTCTGATTGTTAATCTTAACAATTCACTTTTACAGCGAGGCCCTGGAGGCAGATATTCACATGTGGTTCTTACATTGAGCCTGTCGAAGAGGTCGTCTTCTGGCTGCTTGTTCTCCAGAAACAACTGGAGGTTTTTAAAAACCTGTTAAGAAATCAGCAATTATTTACAGAGCATGAAAACACACACATTCAAAATGATGTGTTCATGTATGTAGTGTCACATTTCTCCCAGATGAGGGTGCTACATTAATCCTAAATTGTAGGTGGTTAGTGTTTTTTGTATTGACTTCTAAATGTAGGTGGGGATGCACAGTGGAAGTGTAGACGAAATGATAGTGCAGGGTTTCTTGATGAATTTGACGTGAAAATAGCACATCTAGTTTGTATGTGTGTGTGTGTGTGTGTGTGTGTGTGTGTGTTTGTTTGTTTGTGTGTGTCTGTGTGTGTCTGTGTGTGTAGACTTCAGTAATAGCAGGAAACAGACCACCCTCTGAGGCCGTGCAGGCGGAAAGCTTTTAGAGCCTGATCACCTGTGTGTGCAAACATCCTCTTCAGCAAAGCAACTCCTTATCTCATTAACATTAACTTCACACCACTGCCACATGCACCACCCTCATAAAACCAGTTATGTCCTCATTCTCCTTCCACTTCTGTCTTTAACGCCTCTCCCTCTCCCTCCATTTTCCCTGAGTCCCTCGTGTCTTACCCTCTTCTCCACTGGGATCTTGTTGTAGTACCGGATGGAGTCTTTACCCAAGAAGTCAAACTCCACCACGTACTCCTGCTCGTCCAGTTTGGGGTAAAGTTTGATGTGCTCCACCCGCAGCGAGCAACAGCCGACGGTGTCCGCAGTCTCACCTTCCTCCTTTTCATTTCCAGCCCTCAGTGCCAGCTACAAGGGAAATGCCATACATTTGTGATCTTTATTTACATTTGGGTGTGAAGCATCCTCTCAAGATTTATTCTGTAACCTTAGATGAAAGTCTGCAAAAAAATGTAAACTGTCAATCCCAACAGTTCCAACAATTCCAAGGAGGAGATCCAGGAATAGTTTTTCTCTTTCTTAAGTATTTTGAGATTGAGATGGTTTATTTTTGACATTTTTACCAATTTCTCAGGGAACAAAGAATGAATCGTGATGGTAAATATCTGGCATATTTAGGAGACTGATATGTATGAGTGTGCAATTTGGTGCAGCTCCAATTAAAAGTTCTGAGCTAGCGATTTAAATGGTTTCACAGAGCGGTAGGAATTTTTCCAGCCTGACTATCGCCAACGTGTAGCAGAGATAATGTGGATTCAATGGGGAATAAACTGTTTATATGCATCTTCAAAAGTTTTTAGAAATGTCAAAACCAATGTGACAGATTTGGTGCGGAATTCACGAGTACAGTTTGGCCTTGGTAGAGACATGTGCTCAACTGAGAGCCATTACTATTAATATTTGTTATTATATTAGTTCTACTGTCTGTTTTACTCACTTTGTCTATGAAATACAGCGCCACCGCTCTCTGCCTGATCCTCATCTCTTTGGATTTCCAGTCATCTCTGTATTGGTTTCGGATGCGATCCACACACTTCTTCAACCGCCGGGCCGTCTCGTACTTCTGCCAGTCCTTCTCCCCCTGCACAAACACACAAACAGCTGATTATTGTTTGTTATCACGGGAAAAGTTGCAAAAATAAATATATCCTCACATCAAGATTAAAACAAAACCGAGGCTGGAGGCTCACTCCTGAGACCACAGCTACCTTAATCCTGGAGCTGGGATTCAACATGATGTACTTGATGGAGCCCTGGATGTTCTCCGTCCAAGACGCCAGCCAGGTCACCTTGTTGTCATGGCGAACCTCCTTCCATTTTTTCCCTGCGGGAGGTTTGGGGTGCTTGGAGTCCCTGCAGAGAGGGAGGTAGATGTAAATGGTAGATGTAAATGAAATTATTAACACTGCAGCTATGGAACAATAGCGAACAGAGAAATGTTACGGTAAGGCAAACCCAACTGTGACCTTTGTGTGGGGGTCGACATGTCCTCCCTGAGCTGTGTTATTGTTCGCACACTCATGCAGCAGGAGAGGAAGACCACCTCTGACACAGTCCCGACATGTGAGTGTGTGTCAGCGATACATCTGCCATACTGTGCTGCTCATGCCACGTGCAGCACGTACATTATTTTAATGGCATCCCTGTGATTGCATCAAATGAGCTTTTCCATAAACTATTCTCATACACACTGCCCTGGAGGCACGGGAGCGCAGAGATGAAAAAGAAAATGATTCCCTCTGTGGGTAAATACATAAACATAACTGAGGATAGAGGAAAAGATAAAGGGGGAGAAGAAAAAAGAGGCTGAACTAGGAAAGATGGGTGAGATGTCTGAATGTACAACAGTATGACGGGACCAGGGGTAAAAGGTCTAAGGTCGAAATAATATCTGCTTTCAGACATGTTTTGAGTTCTTCATGTGGACCGCAGGATGAAATCAAAATGGAAATATTCATGGCAGTGTGGCTCCAGTTCCCCCTGAGACCCTCTAAGGACAAACAGTGTGGATAATGGACTGATGCATGGACATTCATGGCAGTGAGGCCGGTGATAACGACTGTAATGAGATTACCTACTTGCTACAGTTAATGATGATGTCTTCAGGTCTGATGCGGCGTTTCAGCATGCCCATCTTCGGGTGGTCGCCTCGCCCCCGGAAGAGGCCCGGTGGCTCGATGCGGAAGTTGCCGATCCTCTCCTTGTGGTTGTCCATGACGCAGAAACCGTACTCCTGGAGGAGCCTCTCGTTCTCTTCTTTGATTTTCTGCGTGTAAACATGAAAGCACAATGAGAGATTGCACGATGCGTTCAGGAGCTGGGCGAGTCTGCAGGAACACACGTCTACCTGTTTCTCTTCTTTTGACATCTGTTTCCTGGCTTCTGATTGGGCCTTGAAGTACTCGCTCATCTCACTGAAGTTGCACTTGTTCAGGTCAGTGATCTTTGACTTCTCCTCTGATGTCATTTCCTGAAATGAAAGGGAACGTGCCTGAAGCCCAATTTTGAATGCTTGAACCGCACAACATCTGGACGTTCTGGCACACGTGCTCAAACTGACATGCTTGAATGTGTCCTGTCTCATGTCCTCACCTTCCTCCAGTCCTTGAAGAAGTTCTTCCTGAAGATGTCCTTAGTTGTGTACTCATGCTCCAACATCTTAGAGAAGAATGTAGCTACCTCTTCAGCAGGAGCACTAAGTTTCAAAGGTTTACCTACAAATATAGAAAAATCATACTTCAGCCCTGAGCAAAGATCATTTAAAATAAATCAGAACTGAGGTTTTACACAGAGAGACTCACCGTCATAGAAAAATTTGACTTTGCCGGGCAAGGGCTCGTACGGAGGTGCGAACACTGGACCTTTATGTTCAAGGAAGCGCCACTTGGAGCCGTCGGTGTATCTTTCCTCCTCCCACCTAATCAAAGAAACAACAAATCAACAAACATGATCTCTGTGTGTGATTTCCCAAAGCATAAAATTTATAATTTCCCCCCCAAACCGATCTGACCATTTCCACTTCTCCTCTTCCTCTTTTTTGGCTTTCTTTCCCTCTGTTCCCTTTCTGTCTTTTGTCTTCTTTTTGGGCTTGATGTCCTGAAACTATTGGAGAGAACATAAGGAACCTTTAGAACATTAGCAGCTGACGTTCCAGCAGGAGAACCCGACAACGCATTTATCAAATATAACATAGAGAAAAAAACTAAACGCACCTCATCCTCCTCATCGTCTTCATACTCATGTTTCCTCTTCTTTGCCTTTTTGTCGTGTTCTGTTTTGACTTTTTTGGGCTTGTATTCAAATCTGTAAACAGTGGTATGATAATGAAATTGAATTTCAGAACGCAGATTAATAAATTAAATCTTAAACATAACGACTGTGATTTAAGATGAATTTGAACGATACCCACTCTTCATCATCGTACTCTCGTTTGAAGGACTTGTTGTTTTGGGGAGAAGGGTAGAAGCCGTTGTCTTCCTCAGGCTCGCCCTTAATGACAGCGGGGCTCGTGTTCCTTAGTCACACATTCAAGAAATTGAGCTGCTTCATAATGACGTTTTACTTCACATCAGAAATAACAAAGCGAGGCTGTTTACCTCATATATCCATTCTCTTTCTCCTTTTTAGGCTTGTCTGCGTGGGACGATTTGATCTGTGGGAGACAGAATATTGGATTTCCTCTTCCGTTGATAATCAAAATGCACTTCAGCAACGTTTAAACTTTTACTCATAATCAGTTGATGGAAGGCTGAAGTCTCTGTTATTAGTTTTATGGTTTGTTTTCTCATGAGGACGACCTCTGGAGGACTTTGGAATATGTCAATAAACACAGGACTTAAATCTCAATCACTACATAATTGTGATTATAATAAGAGAAATATTTAATGTCGATGCAACAGAACATTTATTTAGTAATGATGATACTGTATTTCTACTACAGCCCTGACTGACTGAACAAACCTTCTCTTCTCTCCTCCTCTCTTTGTCCTTGTCTTTCTCTTTATGCTTCTCCCTGTGCTTGTCTGCGCTGCCGTCTCCGTGCTTCAGCTTCTCTTTGTCTCTGTGTTTCTTCTCGGCGTGCTCCTTGTGTTCGCTGGGAAACAGAAGCCGCAGAGGTCGGAGATCAAGCGCAAGAGGTCAGACGCACAGACACAAAGAAAGACGTTAGCGATGGTGCAGCATACCACCAGAGATACAAACATTTACACAAACACTGACGGAGTTGTTGACAGCTGCCAGCAGGACAGGCCAAAGTCGTGACTCCGCTAATATACCGCAGCCCGCAAATATTTCAACAACACAAAAAAGAAACCAAAGCAACGGCCGCAGCGTTTCAAATTACAAATGCACTACAGATGTCATTCATAAAAAGCAGATTTCAGGGAGTCTGCTTGATGTATGTTTGCTGATTTAACATGACAGGGCTCTATAAGCTGCTTTCAGACATGCACTGAACTCTGGATGGTCTCCAGGAATTATCCAGAGGGGCTGTCTGTGAGAAGTAAAAACTCTGGAGAATGTCAAAATGACCCCAAGTGAGAACACAGCAGGTTATTGTCCGTAGAATAAGTGAGAGTGTTGATGATGTTAAAAAACTGAAATAATACAAATATCTAGGGATTACAAAAGAGGTGCCAGACACGTAGAAGACGGAGAAGAAGACGTCAACTTGGACAGAAGAGAAGAATAAAGAGCTTTTGACAGTAAGGGCCGTGATTAGTATTGTCGTGACATAAACCAAAACATCTGAATAATGTCTGGACGTTTCCAAAGTTCATGTCTGAGAACAGTTTCAAAGTAATCAGCAGTGCTCGCTGTGATGCTTTCATGTCAAGCTTGAGTTTCGATGTTTGATCCTGACTGTATCATTCCCAAAAAATATTCAGCTTCAACAAACAAATCATCAGAATTTCCAGCTGGTAAAAACAAAGCATTGTTGAACATGGAACGTGATATGAGATGAGATCATTTCAGGGTATTTAAGCGATTTCAAAACCTCAATTCTAGCTTAAGAAACCTGCATTTGTCCGGTCATCGACTCGGAGTAGAGACATGTAAATGTAAAGATCCTACCTGTTGCTGTGCTTGATCTTCTCCCGCTCCTTGTCTCTCTTGTGATCTTTGTGTCTGTGCTCCTTGTCTTTGTGCTTGTCTTTATGTTTGTGAGACTCTACGATACAAAGAAGAGATCCGTTTGTTCAGCGGCAATAATTAAAGAATTTCTTCTATATATTCCATACTACTGTTGAAGTCACACTCCAATTATCCATCAGGATACACACAACACACAAGGTTCATAGGAAACTGGGCACAGACACAGGAGTAATACACCCAGACTGAGAGTTTGAAGTTATTTGTAGTTATTTTGTGTCCGTCTCTATGATCCTGTGTCTCTTTGTAGTTAATATTCATCTCTTTGTAGTATTTTGCGTCTCGCTGTATTCCTGTTGTGTCCCTTTGTTATAATTCATTTTGTCCCTTGTGCTCGTTTTGCAGGTGAACTATATTCTCAGGTGCCACAGTTTGTTCATGCGTGTGTGGCTGAGCCATGACTCCCTGACACACCTGCATGGTGAAGCTGGAGATGTTTTTTGCCTCATTAAAGAAAAGAGGAACTTGATGCTGATAGTTGATAGTGACATTGTTATACAAAAGGTAAGCCACAGGCCAATGTTCAATGAGGGGCCAACATAGTTTTATAGTTGCTGTTGCAATGCAGGATATATTATTAAAATATAATTTAAGTATTTTTGATGTATTCTATTTAATTTTTTGTTTTTGGATTACAATTTGAATGCAGAAGTCATTTTTCGATTGAGTGAGTGGGTCTGGGCTTCAGCAGCCACAAATGACAGTGGCTCACCTTTTTATTTAATTAATCAAGTATTTTAGTTGATAAAGCAACTTATTGATTATTGTCAGACATTACAAAGTCATATATATTAAGACTTCCATAAGCCGTGTACATATTGTTACTCACAGTAGATTTTATGAGGGGATTATATAAAAGATTTGATGCTGACAATAAAAGGAAAACATCAGCTTTTATTGTGGAGCCGAGTGTTTTTGTTGGGCTGCTATTTGCCCACTTCTGCTTGCACGCTTCTATTGACTGTAATAGTCCAACTGTATGAATAACATTCTTTGTCTCTAATACTTATCATAGCAGAGCCTTTATTCAGCTGTTATACAACGTTTGATGTATTTTTAATAGAGAGATGATGATAATACTTGAGAGATATAATCACTCTCATATTCTTCGTGCAGCTTCTCAAATACTTGTGCTGCTGCTGCTGTTTTACAAGAGTGTTGATATTAAAAATATTTCCTGCTGGGTGAAATCCCTCCTGAGGGAGACCCGATTTGGCTTGATCATCACCTCGTGGCACCCTGTTGTCATGGCAGTTTAATAACGGTGTTACCTGCTATTGTCATGTGAAAACAGGAACACAAAACCCTGCTAATAAAACCCACACATTGATTTCAAGAGAAATTAAAGTGACTCTCAGCGTTGCAGCAGTAAATCTAAAAGAGAGCATGTCTCTGCGATTTTAGCTTCTCTATATTGGCTTCCATTAAATTTAAGAATTGATTGGATTTTTTTTTTTGTGGTAACTTTTAAGAACCATTCTGGACTTTTGACCCCATATGCGCCCGGTCGTAACCTGAGGTCGAAGGCCCTGCTTGTCATTCTACAGTCGGATGAGGACCAGAGGTGACCTGACCTTTTCTGTCAGGGCTCCCACTCTTTGGAACAACCTGAGTTGATCTGTCTAGAAAACTCCATATCAATCAAATAAACCAGTCATACTTAATCTGTGAAGCCCATATTCACAAATCACAATTTGTCTCATCGGTCTTAACAAGGTGGAACATCCTCTGCTCTTTACCCTCAGCGAGAATGTGGAAAAACAAACAAAAACACCAATTAACCTGAGGAAAAACCTCAAAGCCACATGTGAGGGATCCTCTCCCAGGACGACAGAAGTGTAAAAGATGCTGCATGTAGCAGAGCACATCAGCAAAATAACAATATATACAACATTGATGAGAAAAGACAGCGTCTAACATGAATGGAGAGGTGTATCAAGTAGTCATACAAAAGAAAATGTCTGACAGGGATGAGGGGAGCAGTAATGACAATAGTAATAATAGTATAATAGTAGTATATATGATTAGGTATATTGTATATCCAAGTAATTTAGTTGTGATCCACTTGTCCCCTTTTAAATATCTCTTCAAAACACATCTTCAGAGGTGTGTGTGTTCTCCTAGTTCCGATCTTACCGTCTATTTTAATCATTTGATAATTTAGTTTTATTTTATCTGGTTTTTCACTATTTTTACTGATCTTCAAATTGCTTTTTAATTGTTTTTTAATGTTTCCCAATGTTTGCCTTCCTTTTTCATTCTAAACTTGCAACCATGTTTTCAAAGGTTCCATTTAAATAAAGTGTATTATTATTATTATCATTATTATTAATGCGTGTGTCTGAGTGGACAGATTTTTTAATTTCTGCAACAAAAAAAATTAATAACAAATACAGCTCAGGGCATTGTGGCTTTTAAACATGTGCAACTTGTTCTCTGTGACTTGAGACTTTCAGAGTGTTTGGATTCCCTGTTGGATGGATCATGGATGTCTCCTGCACAGATGTGGAGGGAAGAGTGCGGCTGCTGCTGGTGTGAGATACGGGCGGGGAAGAGGCGATGAGCTCCCCGGCTCTCGCCTCCATATCGCGGCAGACAGTCGGCGCGCTGGTCGGCGCCCTGGCTGCCTCACCACAGAAAAAGAAAATGGCGCAGAGACTAAGTCCTCAGCCCCAATTTTGCCACTTTCGGCTCCAAAATTCACCTCATGTGCACACACGTACCACCGATCTGACGCGTGCAAAACGAACACGACGCCGGGCCTGTTCGGATCGGCCCCTCGTGTGAAACATGCGGGGGTCGCAAGTGCACGTTTCAGACCCTCTTTTTGAACAATAGCCGCAAGAGAGTGGAGGAGAAGGGACTTAGTCTCTGGGACGCCATTTCTGTCCTTTTTTGCAAAACTATCAGCACACACACCACGATTGCGACTGGAAATCCTAATCGGTGGGAATAGAAAGTCTCATGAGAGGACCTACCGCTTCCTTTAGCTCCAGAATTGACCTGCAAAGTGAGAAAAAGGATGTTTTTAATGTCTCAATTTTGCAAATGCCGGTAGCTCGGGTTTATTCAAGTTTCAATGGGCACGAACATGTCACACAGAGATGCATTTGTATTTTGCTGCTGCAAAAAGATCATGATCTCAAAGTTTCCACTGGAATTACAAAGATTAAAAAATGCAACTTGTGACGATCTGAACCATTATTTCATCAAGATGGTTGATACTTGACACTTGTGTTATTGCTGAGGAATTCGTGCAAACTGCTGCAGAGGACAAATATATAAGACACATACCTGAGAGCCTCCGTGTCCGTGATCCCCGCTCATGGTGGATTATTGTAGGTGAGGCAGGTGGAGGTTCCACAGCAGACACAGACAGACAGCTGCTCGGGATGTCAGGGTATCGAACCTCACTGTCACTACGGAATGGAGTCCCGATGTTCACCCACTGCGCATGTCCACTGGCTCCCAGGCAACACTCACGGTCCCATCAGGAACCAGCATCCACAAGGATCAGCCTTCAGACCAGTGTGGACACATTCATCTTCTCCAAATTCAGCCCTTTGTTGTGTTTGTTTGGAGTCCAGTGCAGGCAGGTTTTATTTGTACAGCACATTTCATTAGAAAGCAGAGAAACTACAACTCAAAACTATTTTTTAAGCAAAATAAAGACATGAAAGAGTAAAAGAGGTAAAAGAAATTAAACAGCTATGTCTGTATGAGAATTCTGAATGAGTTGAAAGAGATAACAAATTGTACAAATATAGAAGATAGAATTTTGTAAAATAATAAAATAACAATGGTGATATGACCTTGTAAAATTTCCATTTCAGGGCTTTTGAACTGTTGAATATTTTTGTTAGTAATTTACTTTTATTATATCACATTTACCACATTGAATTACATTTCAAATTAAATACATTTGTTTTATTTGTGTAACACATGTCTATTATACTTTTGTGAAATTGGTTACATACCATCAACTTCACAGCTTCCCACAAGTGAAGCCAAATCATCAGGATCATTTTTCTCAAAAAAAAGTTGCTGTCAGGTCTCAAAAACCGTTGAAGAGTTTACTAATTATTCAGGAAATTATTTTCTTGGTTTTTTTTCGAAGCATGATTTGGGAATACATTTTGGAAAAAAGTTTTTAAAGAAAAGGCTAATCACATCTTTTCAGAGCTAAGAGGCTCTGCATCACACCACAGGGGAGCATCATGTAGATTGTTTTGCAGATTGTCAGACCTTTCCTTCATCTTTGCTAAAGTCTGTACAAGCAGCACAGCACAATCTACGTCAACGTTCTAACTTAGGGCATCTCCTTGTAGTTGGGCCCTAAGTCAGTTCCACTATTACCTTCCTTTTCACTGCATGTGGTCAGAACTTCAATTTGGCTTTGACAGAAACTTAAAACCTAAAGAAACCACAAGAATCATGTTACACGGTTTCACAGAACAAAAGCAGTAGAAAATTTAATTCAGTTTTACAGCATAATTATACAATCATAACAAGCTCCATGATCAGTCTTCACAGGATTAATCCAGCATTTAATATAAAAAGCACATTCACACAAAACACATAATGTATGCACACATTCTAACTACAATCTCAAATAATAGCATGGACAAAACGATAGCATCTTTTTAAAACACTCTGTACATGGTTTCTTTCTCCAATGACAATTCAAAATCTGGGACAGAGAAACCGATATCAAATGATTCACAGCCAAAAACAAAAACATTTACAGTACAGTACAGTACAGTACACAACTGCAGTTGTGCCTATTTAGACTTCCTTCGTTTGGCTTGGGTGGGGCTCGCTCCAGTTTCTGTTAAAAAGTCACAGACAAGTGAATTAAAGGAAAGATATGTGTGTTATGTGTACAGCTCAGGTGCAGTGAGACATTTTGCCTTTTTAAAATATGCTTGTGTGTTTACCTTTTACCGCAGCACTTGTACCAGGCCTGGCCGATCGCTTCCGAATGCCACTGTCTGCCACTGGCTCCTCCTCCACCTCCTTCTCTGCCCGGGAGCTGCGTCTGCTCGGTCCCTTGGGTTTCTCCACAGCAGCTCTGGGAGGACAAGACAGAAAAACGAAAAGAAAGGGTGTGTTATTAACCACAGAGGGGTGATAGTTAACTCTGCTCTACTCAGAGAAAGATATAATACCACACAGGACTGCTGTTTTTCCTCGTCTACCACAGATACTGTCCGTCTTCATCCCGACAGCATCCACTACGTCGACATGATCACTGCTTGTGTCTTTGCAGCACAAACATGTTAAAATACATACCTTGGGACTAAGTTGATGGGCGTCTTTCTTTTCTTTGCCCATCTGTGATAGAAGTGGAAAAACAGCGGTAAACTATAGACTGTGCTGAACAAACATGGCTTCACTTCCCCACCATATTATGACAATCCCCAGGAAAAGAGATATGGCCATAAAGGTCAGGAGGAGTAGTATGATTTCCTTTGTGATCTGCTGTTCTTTGTTTTGAACTCCAGTCATGCATTAGTATATTCATATTGTTGCATGCTATTTATACATACCAAGTGCTGAGGCCACGTGGCTCATTGTTTTCACCATGTACCCCCTCCGACAACCAAATGAACTCCCTGAGTTTCAGTCGAGTTAGAAATGTCTAAGCATTTCTCCTTCAAGAGCAAGGGTTTTAAGACTAGGCCCACTTTTCAGAGATCAACAGTTAGGGACACCTTAATAAACCCCAGCACATTGAGCATTTAACAACTAAACAACCACATGGTAATATCAAGAAAAATTATTTTAGAGGAATCTTACCCTTGCTCAGAACCTGTTGAGACCTCTTCACCTAAATAAGACAAAAACACGATTTATTTCTATGCCATTTTCTTCCAAGTGACTCATTACAGCATATGGAATTATTATTTTCTATTTAAAAAGATAAACATTTTCAAAAACAGCTAAAACAAGAATGACTAAACTTACTCGTCTTCTCACTGGCAGCAGGTTCCTGAGACTGTGGGACATCTTGTTGAACAGGTGCTGGGGAAACAGGTTGAAATAGTTCAACTGATACATGAATATGACTTTTTTATTTGTAATAAACATGCATCCCTGGTTAGTCAATTAAATCCATATATTAAGCAGCTATAAAAATGTATAGTGGGAACTGAGGCCGAACAGTTTTTTCGCTATCAAGCCCACCAGTTGCAAATGTTTTATACATAGGGACTGTTTTCTTAAAACAAGGATTTAAACCCTAACCCTTTTCTTACCCAAGAAAGCTTGATAAATAAGGTTGCATGACAATTTCAAGTTGTACAAAAAATATTTCTCTGACATGTAATAACAAACCCTTACCACAGCGGTGACACGTAATATGTGTAGTCATCAGCTTGACCTGACCCACGATCATGGCCAGAATATGGTCCTAATCCTGTTTGCTTTCTAAACATATGATTTTTTTATGACAGTGTGTTTACCTGGGGTGGTCTGAGTGGTTTCATGAGGTGTTGCCATTGGTGGTATGGGAGGCTCCATGGCTGGGGGGTCAGACTGAACTGGTGTAACTGCACTGGGGTTAGCAGCTGGAGAGATTGTGGTGGGGGTAACCTCCTGAACAGGCCCAGGTGCAGCAACAATTGGAACAATGGACGGTATGGGAGTTTCCACAGGAGCAACCGTAGAAAGCAAGGTAGCAGAAGCAGTGTCTGGGGTCGAACAAACTACAGTGACGACAGGAGCTTGAGAAGTTACACTTTGCGCTGGGCCTGGCACTGGAGCTGGTGCAGGAACTGGGGCCTGGGTAACAATCTGAGTAGGAACAGCAACTTGGCCAGAAGCTGGGATTGGAGAGGATAGTGCAGGTGGTGTAATGCTGTTTGGAGCAGCAGGGATAGGATGGGAAGTTGGTGTTTCAATCTGAATGGCAGGACTAGCAGTTGGATGACAGACCGGTGGTGGCACAGCCACAGTGGGCCCCTGCCCAGGCCTTTCTATAGGATTCTGCTGTGAGTCAGCTGCACCAGAAACAGCTGCAGCAGCCTGTCCAGGTTTACTTTTGACTTGGGCAGTGGGAGATGGAGGCATGGGGCTTTTTCGAATGGCGTTCAGTACCCCAGGACTAGAGCAGGGAGGTGGAGATGCCAGCGGGGGCTGAAAGGGAGATGATGCTGATGAGGTTGGATGTGGAGATGACTGCTGGACTGGGGGACTAGATTTCTGAGCAGAGCCTGTCTCACATACATTTTCTATTTTAAGAGCACCAGGGTTAATTTGTTGAGGTGCTGTGAGAGTACCAACTTGAGCAGACGAGGGCATACAATTGGCAATTTGGACCTGTCCTACAGTACTTCTGGTAAGCTGAGTACTGGTCATGTTAGCCACTGAGGACTGAGTGGAGCTTGGGGCAGGAGAAAGTTGGATATTTGTAGTGGACACTTGGATAGGCCCCACCATGGTCACTGACTTTGATACCACTGTGTTATTGGGAGCCACAGACGCACCTGGGACCTGAAAAATTGGGTTAATAAATACAGGGGTGGTGGTGATGAACTGAGGAGGTCGAGGGATAGGGGTCTGCTGCCGGATGTCCTGAGGTCTAATATTCTTGTTAGGGACAGCAACCATAGTAGACACCATAGACGTGGGGGCCTGAGGAGTGGAGGCAGAGGTGATGGGGTTAGAGGTGACAAACACAGTGATCTGGTTGGGGGAAATGGTGCTGGAAGAGGCAGGAATCTGAATGACTGAGTGAACATTTGTTACAGGTTTAGGATTAGGGATTGGTTTTAGAGCCGAATTGGCTGGGTTTAGAGCAGGGCTGGCGATAGAACTAGTATTAACAGCTGAGGCAGAATTGCTCTGGCCTGAAGTGACTGGGTTGGGGCTTACAATAGGGGTAATATTAGTGTTAGTACTGAGGGTGTTGCAAAGAGTAGCTGTTGGGTTTACATTCGGACTGGGATTGACCCCATGACTAAGGATTGGGTTTTGATGAAGGGTGGGGGTAGTATTTGAGTTCACAATAGTGCTAGGGTGTGAGCTGGGAATTGAAGCAGGCTGCAAGCTAGGACTACTGGTAGGGATTGGAACAGCAGGTCCGGGTATGGCTTCTGATTCATTTTTAGTTGTAGGAACAGCGGCTGACGCATCTGTACTCTGAGAGTTACTGTGGAGTGGTCTGTCTGGATCCAAAGCAGACTTGGGACTTTCCTTTGCTATGACGTCCCTAACAGTATTATTCTGTACAGGGCGAAGAGGCATGTTTGGCATACCTGTGTTATCTAGTAACTGGTTGAGGGAGGTCGGAGCTGCCCTGAGAGCAGGAGAGACCTCAGAATCCTGAATAGGTGCTGTGTGTGTTTGCCTATCAACTGTGCTGGTTTGCAGTTCCATGTCAGGTTTCGGCTGCTGGGGCACAGAAAAACGAGGACTTGCCATTTTGGGGGCTGACAACTCTCTCAAAGGCTGTGGCTGGGGTTGAGGTTGAGGCACCTTTCTCTGCTCTGCTGTAATCATTCCCTGGCTTTCTCTAACTCCCTCAGAAGGGTTACCATGAATCCCATGGAAAGGGCTCTGAGTCTGTTGTGCCTCCATAGCCCCACTTACTTGTGAAGGCAAAGATACTGGACAAGGGGGTACTGAGGTAGGGCTTAGCATCATGGTTTGCCCCTGAGGGCTGACCAACTGCTGCTGGTGGGGAGGGCATGTGATGGTCATATTTTTCCCCTTTTGTCTTCCTGGACTTGGGGTAGCAGACTTGCGGCTAGAAGCTGGACTTGATCGCCGACTATTGCTAGGACTTGCCCTCTTACCCTGCCCTCCAGGCTGCTTGTCCTGTTTAGTACCTGCACCCACTGCTCCAGTGCCAGTAGAGAAAGGCTGTTGATTGTTGTTGCTGTTATTGCCACTCGTACTGCCATTACTGTTGTTGCCTGATAGAGTTAAGCTAGGAGGGGCCTGACCAATGGCTTTCAGGGTTGTCGGGTTAAGACCTTGCTGATCAAATCCTCTGTTTAGGTTTGGCTGTCTGGGCGGTAAAGGAATGTTGATTTTGGGAGGGAAAAGCCCTGCAATTGAGGCATTGAGCCTCTCAGGTGAAAGGTTTATTTCAGAGGGTTCAGTACTGGGTGGTCGATTAGTTGGAGTAAGGGGATGGTGGTATGGCCTTGGGCTAGCTCTGTTGGGGGTTTTAGGCCTGGAGCTTTGTGAAGTTGTGGGGACATTAGGGAAATGAAGTCCAGGCATGGGCCCTCCTTGTTGAGGCTGAGTGGGTAACTGTTGTTGGGGACTAGCTCCAGTATGTGGAGGCATTGGTGATGGACCGGGGCCTTGCTTCATCATGTGAGTGTTGGAGCCCTGGTTAGCCATCATCTGTTGTGTCCCATTTCCAGGCTGCACCCCCATCTCTGGGCCACCAGGCCTGTCCTGCTTAGGATGAGCCCCTGCAGAGACCTCTTCAGATCCAGTGCCTTGGGTACCTTGCCCTACGTCAGGATGAGACATTCTTCGTGCAGTACCTGCAAGCTAGAAAGGGAAAAAATAATTTGTAAAATTGAAAGTATGAGATGTAAATGCCATTATATTTACATATACATTACATTTACACTTGGCCCTTACCTGTGGGTTTACCATTAGGGGCATCCCTCTTGCTTTGTCGGGTGACTGTGGTACCCCTCCATGTCCTTGAAGACTGATCATTACAGGCATGTTACCTTGCTGTGAGACAGGAAGCCTTTGCACCTCAGGATTGCCCATGCCCCGCGGAGGGAGCTGGCCTCCTGGAGGGAGGGACATTCGATTTTTTGCCTGCTCCTGCTGCATCTTCAGCATCAGCATCATCTGCTGTTGTTGCTAAAATGAAGAGTAAGAATAAGTCTTTACAGGCAGAGCATTATCCATTTTGTTGATACCATTGTCATTAATGTACTTAATAATAATAGTACCTGCTGTTGAAGGTGTGGCTGTTGTGTTTGCTGCTGCTGCTGCTGCTGTTGCTGCAGCTGATGAGGATGTATCTGGGGCTGGCCTTGACCTGAATTCTGCGGCCCAGTCATCCCCTGCTGCCCTTGAGGATTCTGGAGACCCTGCATCTGCATCTGTTGCATCTGCTGCTGTTGCTGCATCTGCTGCTGCTGTAATTGTTGTTGTTGCATTTGTTGTTGCATTTGTTGCTGCTGCTGCTGCATTTGCTGTTGCTGTATCTGCTGCTGTTGCATGTGCTGAATTTGTTGTTGTTGTTGCTGTTGTTGTTGCTGCTGCTGCTGCTGTTGTTGTTGTTGTTGTTGTTGCATAAACTGCATGGGTACCTGCTGCAATACTCTCTGTTCTCCAGGTTGGCCAGGAAAGCCTAAAGATACAGCAAACATTTAAACATAGAATTACACATACTGAAAAGTTAAGAATACTGGACATTCGGGATGTCACAAGAACGGAGGCTTAAGGCTTAAGTCGATGCCAAAATTCTAAACACACCCTGGTACTCCTTTTTTAACCAACAAATACTAACTCGCTCCACACGCTCCTGCAGATTGGATATTCACAGAGATTGTGATGCAAGGCAGTGTTTTAACTTTGAAGTCACCTCGTTTATCAAGGAACATTCAGCAGGTTATTGTGGAGAATGGTTGTGCGTGTGGGTGATTGGAGAGGAGCAGAGTAGCAGAATCACTTGTTGACTGACACTGGGGGACTTGCACTCGAGTATATAGGTGTGTGTGTGTGTGTTAGTACACTTCTAATAATTGAAATCTCATAATTTTTCTATATGCCTCTGTTCTGTTTCATCATTTTAATAGTATTTTCTTTTTGTGTATTACTTAAGGCTACATAGTCATCGTTGTTTTTTGTGTGTTCAATTTTTTTTATAAAGGAGTGTGTGTTGAAGTAAACAGGATTTATTGTTTTGTTTTTTGCGGTGGTAACAAATAAGAGAATTGTGGAAATTTCATTTTTTGTATTGTGACATCCCTACTGGCAGCTGCTGAAATTTAAAAAAGGGTGAGGGAAAACCATGTTTATAATTGTAGACATTCATTAATTCAATGTCAGTTACCAGCAGGCCTGTTGGCAAAATCAGGGAGTTTTGGGCCAGAGTTGTCTAAGCCCAAATTCTGTTCTCCACCCAGATTTTGCAATTCTGAATCCTCAATGCCAGCATTCACATCAAGACCACTAGGGAAGAGAAAATAGATGAAGCTGAGTCACAGAATTAATGTAACAGTGATACAATTAGCTAAACTGCAACAAATACAATCATACAATAATTACCCAATTCCCTCTACTTGCTGTTGTCCCTCTCCCTCTTTGGGCTTCTTCTTTCGTGCAGGTTTCTTTTTCTTGGGTTTGGCTTGATTACCTCCTCCTGCTCCTTGTTTGCCTCCTGGTCCAAACTGGCTGGCAGAGATATCACTCTGCAGTAGGTTGACCAGCAGTGGGCTGGTCAATGTAACATCCTTACTCACAGGAAACCCACCTGGCTGACCGCAGGCTGCTCCCATTGGTATCTGGCCTGGAAACTGGGGGTTAAAGTTCATGCCATGACCTGCAAAGTGGCCATTTCCCATCTGCATGTGCTGAGGACCCCCCATCATGCCTTGTTGCTGCTGTGCCTGCATATCAGGACCCATCTGTTGGACCCCTAAGTCCCCTGTACCACTATTTGGATCTCCCAGAGGATGTGGATGTTGTTGAACTGCCTGCTGTTGTTGCTGCTGTTGTTGTTGTTGTTGTTGTTGCTGCTGCTGCTGTTGTTGTTGTTGTTGTTGTTGTTGCAGCAACACCTGCTGCTGCTGTTTCTGCTGCTGCTGTAACTGCTGCTGTTGCAACTGTTGTTGGATAAGAGGGTGACCAGCAGGAAGCCTCATCTGTTGCCCATGCATGCCCATAGCTTGATTAGGATTTCCAGGAATAGGGACCTGTTGGGGCTGTTGCTGGTTCATTTGCTGGTGTTGTTGTTGCTGCTGCTGAAGCTGTTGCAACTGATGCTGTTGCTGTTGTTGTAACTGCTGTTGTTGGAGTTGAGCCATTTGCTGCTGCTGTTGTGGAGTCATCTGCTGAGGGCCAACCTGGCCCTGGAACTGAACCATGTTACCTGGAACATTTGGGGAAGGGCCACGCATCATCTGGCCAGGCATGACCCCAGGTGGCATCTTGCCTCCAAATGCCTGCTTGTTGCCTTGCATCTGGTTGGCAACCATTTGTTCCATCATTGAGTTTTGTTGCTGCTGTTGCTGCAGGAGCATGGCCTGGTGCCCTTGGCCTCCAACCATCTGACCCTGCCCATGCATCACCCCCTGGCCTTGTTGAGGCATCATCTGCTTGGGTGGGGTCATTCCTCCCCTCTGCCCTTGATTGATGGGCCTTGAGAGGACAGTCTGACCTCCACCCTGGCCTTGAACCATCTGGCTGGGGGAGGAGGACACGGGCTGGGCCTGATGCTGGAGGCCCATCATCTGGGTCTGGAGGCCAGGCTGTTGCTGGCCCATACTAGGCCCAGTGGTTGTACCAGGGGGTGGACCTGCCATACTACTTTGCACACCCATGACATTGGGTTGGACATGGACTGGACCCTGCATTGAGTTTGGGGTGGAGGCCGAAGGCTGAGCTCCTGATGTAAAAAATAAAAATAATGTAAATGGGTTTTCACAACAAAGTAATGACAAATGTTGCTTTTTGTTAACTTGATGTTCAGCCATGACATGTCAGTTCTAGAGCTAATTCTTGCCAGTACTGAAATGTTAGAACTGTTCTATCCTGCTGTATTTGTGTTTTGGATGTTGAACTGACAATCTCCAAATTTGACGAATGATATTGTTACAACAGTATGTGTTACTCAACAGTATGGGAAATAAAAAAATAATTCAAAATATGATCTTGAACCACAGTGATGTTTGTCTCACTGTAGACAATCTTGACAAGAATTATGGTGAATTTAGCAACCAGAGAACCCATTAAAGTTATGAAATAACCACATTTGAAAAATATTTGTCAAAATGTGTGTGACTGTGTAACAGCAATGTTTTGAAATATCGATATGAGATTTAAAAAATACATTACCGGCCTTATCTCATACCACACCATTTTAATTTAGTAACTACGGGAAACCCATAAACAACTGCAGCGTTGTAGGCATTTTACCTGTGTGAGTCATGGCTTGGCTGCTCTGTAGCTGCTGCGGGGCTCCTCCACCAGGCGTTCCTGGAGTGCTGACACTCACCTGACCTTGGACAAAGTTAGGGGCTGGAAAGCCCATGGGACGCTTTGGCATGCCTATAATCAGCAATGATTGTTATTTTTTAAATGAGACAAAATGTCCAATCACTTAAACATACACAACCACATTTAATGTGCACTAACCTGGGTGAACTTGGGCCCCAGGCTGACCATGCTGGGGCATTCCCATAAATCCTTGTTGCATGTTACCCTGTTGGCCAAGGGCTGCTCTTCCTGGTGAACCAATACCCTGAGGAAAACCCTGTGGAGTTGTAGGTCTCTGAACCATCATGGGAGGAGTCCCAGGTGAACCCTGTTGAAATGGAGAAGAGGAGGAACCAGGGGACTTGGCGGTGAGGTTGCCCTGTTGTCCAGAAGCTGGCGGAAGGGGAGGAGGGGGTCTAGGCGGTCCTACGACACCACCAGGGCCAACCTGTAGGCCTTTAGGCTGAGGGGCTGCAAACTGACCCATTCCTGGCTGCTGTTGTTGCTGTAATTGACCCTGTCCCATGGCATTGAATACCTGCCCAGCTTGTTGGCTGCCAAATGGATAAGGGGGTGGAGGGTGGCTGGGAGTCTGAACTGTAGCAAGGGAAGGTGGCCGTTGTACCATTTGTCCTTGGGGTGGGGGCTTTCTCCAGGCAGGACCTGGCCCTTGGGTGCCTTGTGGCTGGAGAACCCCAGCAGACAACTGGTTCCAGCCAGGAGGTACAGCCATCTGGCCTGATGGGTTGAATGGAGGTCTAGGTCCAAGCTGGGAGAGCTGAGCTTGCTGCTGGGCCTGTTGCTGTTGGTGATGCTGTTGTTGTAGCTGTTGCAGTGCAGCAGGGTTAAGTGGTCTTCCTACCTGCAGAGTCTGCATGTGATGGGCAGCCTGAGGAGGCATGGGGCCTGGGCCATGGGGACCAGCTTGTTGGTGCTGAAGCTGCTGTTGCTGCTGAACTGGCATACCAGGCATCATTGGGTCCATTACATCTGTGAGAGAGGAAGACGCAGTTTTTCCATTACTCTACTGTCAAGCTATAACATAATTCTTGGTGTGATCTTAAATATTTGATGAAGAAGAAAAAAAGACCTGAACCTGTCTGTGAAGATGGTCTTGCAACACGAGGGTGCATCTGTCCACTGCTGCCAGGTACCATGGCCTGACCTGCCATGCCAGGACCCGGGGGAACCATCTGTGGATTAGCCATCCTGACTACTCCTTATGGAAATATGAACATATTATATATTACATGCAACAGGAAATAATCTTTTGTTTATCAAGTGATTTTAAATAGCCAATAACGAATATCTATTTTTGATTATTGTTGCATGTCTTTATGGATGCAACAAACAAACATTTGCATAAAACCTAAGAACCTAAGTGTAATCAATTCAGTAAACTAATACCTGGGCCAGGCTGACCCGGAAAGGCGACATCCATTCTTATCTGGCCAGGCGCTCCAATTGGTCCATTCACTCTCACTTCTTGTCCTCTATTTGGTCCCATAGCCACATTGATGGCCCCTTCCCCTAAAAATCAAAAGGAGTCTAATCAAGGTTTCAAATTTACCCAAGGAGGTCCTGTTTGTACTATTTATTTTAGAGTGCAACTGAAAACAAAAACATTGTTGAGTGCATTCTGATTTACGTCTCAAGAAGTTTGAAGGCTGTGCTGTTACCTTCTATCTGGACTGAGAGGATTCCCAAGTCTCTGAGCTGCTGCTGGTTGTTCTGGGCCAAAAGTCTAAGTCGCTCAGCAGCATCCCGAGGAATGTTGAAAGTAACCCGCACACTGTTCCACGGCTCCACATGCTGTGGTTTCAGCCTGTCAGAGCCTTCAAGAGGGACAACAAATGGATACACGTTTCATTTCCAGTGTAAACAGGATTAAAAAAAAAAACACTAAACAAAAAACTAGACACTACCAGTCAGAATATTACAAAGAAGGGATGAGCATATAGAAGTCTTGCTGGAACAGAAGTAGGGGTGTTAAATATGAACATTAGCAGTAGAGTTGTAAAACTTGTTGCTTTAGGTATTTTCAGTGTTAAAAATCATGGAGACCTTCCAAGGCATAACAGCCCCCACTTCTGTGATTGACAGTAGGCCATCTGTTGACAACACTATTAGCGTTTTCACTAAATTCCTGTATTCTTATTTTCAACATTACCAGGGGCTTTAAAAATGTTAGGACTAACCCATGTCAAGCATGTTAGGGATCCCACTGAGGACAGTTTCAAGCTTTTGTGTAAAATCCTCATCCTCCATATTCCCTTGAAAGGCAACGAAAACTGTAAAATCGTCTCCCTCCCCGCTGTTTTCTTCCAAGCCATCTTGCTTGTTGTCTTGCTCCTCTTCTGATACTGTGCTTCCATGGCAACTGTATGCATCCTCTCCCGCATCATCTCCAACACCAGAGTCCCTGTCGGAATCATTATCCGCTTCCAGGCACTCTGTCCTCTGGGACATTTCAGGTGGGGTGTGTCGATGTGCCATCCTCCCCTCGTACTAGGAGTGGCGTGTGAACCGTGTTATGCTGAAATTAAACATGACAGAGATAATTATTTGTATCTTATAAACCATTAGAGTGCAACATAGTATTTTCACAGTAAAGGAGCAGCTGAGGTGCCAGAGTGAAGAGGAAACATTCTGTACTATAAACCATTTAGTGTATAAAATGCTGGATAAACAGGTCGCTGTTTGCTTCATGTGTCAATTGGACTGCACTTCCTTATGCTCAACTATAAAACTGGAGTTTTGGTGTTTGGACCAAAATCACAAAGGGTCTACAGTATGTTCATGAGGCAAGAGACCTGAGAGTAGTCTTTGTATCAGAGCCGAATTTCTCAAAACATTTTAGTAATATCTTAAAATTATTGCCAATCACATTCAGTTTTGAATGTTGTTCATGCTTTTGTCTCCAGCCATCTAGATTACTGTAACTCATTATTTGCAGAACTGCCCCAGAAATCTATCAACAGTCTCCAACTTGTTCAAAATACAAAAACTTGACAGTTGACTGTTGGTTCCCAGTGTAAAGTGTGAAATTGAGGGTGGTAGAGTTTTGTCTCTGAGGACTCTATGACTATGGAAGAACCTTCCACTGGGAACCAGACAAACTACCTCGTTGTCCTCTTTTAAATCTCGTTTAAAGACTCATTTACCTGGATGTCTTATGTCATTATGTCTGCCATTTTTCTTTTCCCATGTTTGTGAAGCATGTTGTAAGCTTGTTTGGGAACATCTTGAAGTCAATAAAGCTTTATTATTATTGAGTTAAATAAGATGACGTTGAAGCTAACAACACACCTGCACGTCAGTGACATCACTATGACCTGTGATGCTAAACTAGGACGAGCAGACGTGTCAAATCTTTCCATAAAGTGGCTGTTGGTGGCAGACATGTTTAAACTATAGTGTGACCAGACGTTCATTACAGAAACACTTCATTAATACGTTATCAGAAACAGTGAGCAGCTTAGTGAACATGATCGGCCCAGCAGTGGCAGGGGCCTTAGCACAATCTTAAGCTAGCGTCCAGCGATCAGATATCTGCAGACGAGCGAGAAGATTCCGCGTCTCACGTCAGTGGAAACTTCCCTGAAGTACATGCACATCACTTACAACTCGCTTTTACACGGGTTTAATCAGATCCCGCGTTAAGAAAGAGAATCAAATTAAAACCGAGGCGGTTCCTGCTGGCTTCTCCTCAAGCTACCGCTAGCAAAGGCTAGCTGCGTTAGCTAGCTGAGTGGCGCTGCACATCATTTATCTTGACTGCTCTTGGACCGCAACTTGTTAGCTTTCACTGCTCGTTAGCTCCGGCGCGCTAAATGTCACATGCAGTTAAACACGCACGAGGAAAGCAAGACCCTTACCACATATATTCATCTGAACATGAGGCAAACCAGTCGACATCTGCTAGCAAGATGAGCTAACAAAACATGAATCACATACAAGGCAGAAGCGAAACGACGTCAACCCGGCTTAAGGGGAAATACTGTTTCCGGTGGCGCTTTCCAAAATAAAACCCCAATTAAGCCGCAATGTCAAAAATAAAGAGGAAAAACATCTGGTTATTCTTCTTCCAGACTTGTCTATGGCGGAATTTTTGGTGCTTCAAATTAAATTAAATCAATTGTTTTCTCTTGTCATATCGTCATAAGCATTAAAGGTGCAGTGTGTAAGATTTAAGTGAAAGGGATCTATTGGCAGAAAGTTATTATAAAATAACCCTCGGGATGTTTTCATCTAAATTGTACAAATTGTTGTTTTATTCACCCTAAAATGGGCCCTTAATGTTTACATACTTTATATTTACATCGGGAGCAAGTCCTCTCTACGGAGGCCATTCATTTTTTCTATTAGCCCAAACTGGACAAACTAAACATCTTAGGTTTTTATGAATAAGGCTGCACAGGTTCTCTTTAGTGTTTGGACGGGGAGGGTGAGGTGAGGGGTATTCAGCTGCAACATGCAACTTCACCACTAGATGTCACTGAATTCTACACGGTAGATCTTTAAGCTTAAAGACAGTGTTCTGCAATTCTCTTTTATTCTTGGATCAAAGCAAAAGGATCAATTGAGTCTGATTTTTACAGTATTAAAATAAATATTTGTACCACAATCTGCACTGGTGTACTTCATCGCACACTTGTGTTCATTGGTGATAACCAGGGAAAAAAGCAGGCCACAGGTAAAAAAAAAAAAAATCAGCTCAGATTTTGAACTCCAGCTATCCAAAAAATACCTATTACCCGGAAATTGCAAGCTCCCATAATTATTTTACAATTGATGAGATCAACCACATGTATGGAGGAACAAAGTTGCAAACACTGACCAGCATGAGGATGTGATGTAAAACCTTTTATTTCTTAGGCTTGTACAGTGCTGATTTTGACTCAAATCAGATACAAATACACATGGAATCAAATATCGGGTGTTGTGCAAATGTTTACCTTAAGGCGTGGTACTCTACAGTACAAAAAAAACAAGCATCAAAAGTCGTATTGCACTGATACCCAAGAACAGAGACGAAAGGTTGAGGAAATTTTGATCATTCTGGATTCAGTTGCAACAACTTTTAGAATGCACTGCTTGACAAATGCTTCTTACTTTAAATGTAATGCCTGTAATAATTTAACCAATACACAGCAGCTGGTGGAATGCGTTGTGTTACACTAGTAAAAATAAAATGTATACAGCCCAACAATTGTTCATATAAAAATAGACAGATTACATTCAATCCATCTCTAAAGACTTAGATCCCATTTCTAAAAACATGTATCCCTTCCCCCAAAAAAGCTCTATTCCACAAGCTTTAGTTGACAACAAAGTAATGCAACAACAAAAATGTCTTAACTTAATTTAAATAGGTTTATCTATGCTGAGTGATATTTAACACCTGTAAACTGAAGCAAATGTGTTTTTTGTGTAAAGATGGTCCTGATGAGCCATTGATTGTTCACAATAGTGGAAGCAGCTGAACCAAACAACATCTAATCACAGTCACATGCCATATAAAAAGCAGGAGAGTAAACGGTTCAGTTTAGGATCGTCTAGTTATTGTTTGACAACACTCATCTTGATCACTAGTTTGATGGGTACTTTAAGGACCATGCAAGTGCTGTAAATGGTGGCTTCCTGGTGTGGCATCATTGTCTGCTCCTTCTTACAGAGAATCTGTTTGTTCACCATTAATTTACGTCAGAACTCCTGATCACAAATTCTAAAAGCAAGCTGTTAAAAAAAGCTTCAAAAGCCATCACAATTTTCCAGTTTCCTCTGGAGTACACCTTGCATTTCTATACCCTGCAAACGTTGATGCCTTTAAGTGGGTTGACATATATTTTCAACACTATCTACACTGGGACTGCACATTAGAGAGGGCGAACCAACTTTGATGTGTGTGAAATGGTGTTCTATTTAATTTTCTGTGTGTTGGCAAACATATGTATCAGTGGATTCATATGTGATCCTACTAAGTGATGTCAGAGAAAGACGCATGTCTGAAGTTTAATTTTCTCCCAGCACGTAGATCTTTTATTCTGTTTAGTAAACTGGTTCTTCAGTTGCCTCCTTCCTCAGTAACTTTCTCTTACAGTACTACTCTTACCCCTTCTTTTTTATGTGTGAGTGTGGGGTACACACTAGGGCAGGATGGACATAGTGAGGGCAGATGCGTCAACACTTCGGGGGTCCTTCACCCCAATGATGAGGTCATTGGTTCTTCGGGTGCCCTCCACTAATGAGAGAACATCTTTCCTCTCAACGTTGTGGCCTTTGGCCTGCAGCAGCACCACGTCTTCATCTAGAAACTCAGCTGCAGGAAAGAAGGAGAAGGTGGGAGAAGGAGGACGACCTGAGCTTAGTGGGAAGAATGAACAACGATAAATAAAATGTCAAAGTAAATAAGCCTCGCTTTACAGCTGCTGTTCAAATGTAAAGTTGACTTGAAGGAAAATGATATCTGGTGATAAGTTCACACAGCAGGTTTAGCCATCACAGTGTGTTCAGATTGTATTGCAATGAGGACTTTTAGCCATGCAGGTCAGAATATCATGTCTTAAAATCAAGCACATGTTCAATAGCTCTGACTTAAAACCTAAAGCTACATTCAGATTATATGTAGATCATAGCCAGACCCAAAACTTCAGCTCCAGAAACATAATAATCTCTGATCTGTGCCGGATCACCGTCTGTATCAGAAGAGTTTCCATCATTCATGGTGACTACAAGAAACATATTTTGAAATATGTTTTGCAGCCTTTAAAAAGATTTTGGTTTATGCTTCTCCCCCCCAAAAAACAGATTAATGCACAGGAGGTTGTAACATTTAACTGTACCATAGTATTCTACTCTAAACCAAATGCAATCTTGTGTATGATAACAATAGAGGTTCTCTCTGCTATCCCATCAACTCATCTGCTGTGCTTTGTGTGTACAAAACTGTGATCTGATGACAACGTAACTACTGGTCCAAGGGCACTTTAGAAAAGGAAATTGGAACTGCAATTAGAAACAAAGTCAATTTGCCCAAATTGTCTGAAGGAACTTTGTCACACCAAGACCACAGTGCAGAACAGATTAGATTGATCAGATGGAAAAACTCACAGTCCACAAGGAGGGTGTTGGGCTCCAGCTGTGGGTGGAGCCGCCCATATGCTACGCTGTCACTCATGTTTTTACGTGAAGACAAAACATTCATCAGCACCTGTGAAGAGAACACAATAGATTGAATAATGCAACATACATAAATCCGTCCAGTTCTGCCAGGTCACAGTAGCAGCTGTTTAAGCTAGGTGCTCAGGACATTCCTCTCCCCAGCAATATTTTCCAGCTCCTCCACGGGGAGCCATAGGAGTGTATCTAGCTGATACAATCTACAATGTCAGAGTGTTGGCTCAGAGTAATTTTTTTAGGCGCTTCCTAACTGGGCCCCGGGGGTCAAAGCCTGGCCACCAGGTGTTTGCCAGCAAGCTCTCCTTCCAGTTCTGTCTCCAGGATATGGGATATATGAAATGATAAAAACCTAACAATCAGTCACGAATGTAATTAAGGCTTGCATCATGTAAATTACCTGTGTAATGCCACTGAGAGCTTTCTCCCCGTTGGAAGATCCAATGGCCACGTACGTGCCACATAACCCCACGGCTGGCCTCACTGCTGTGGGCATCAGAAAGGACATGGGCCTCTTCCCAGGCTGGAGGTTGTTGTGCTAGAGCAAATGAGACCAAACACAATGAGAAACTGAACTCTTATTTAATGCTGTAATGAGAAATAAATCAATAATAAATCCTACAAGAAAAAGGGTGCATGTACTGGGTTAGGTGATGAACTCTGCGTTTTATTGGGCCAGGAGAAGTCCAGGATCTGGCTGTTCAGAAGGATTCCTGAGGGCGTCACTATCCCGCTGCCAAATGGTTTGTTTAGAGAGCTACAAAAAAGTTCTTAGTTAAAGTTTGCTGACAATATAAATTCACTTTTAAATAACACAGAGATCTTTTTAAACAGACATGGCAATAGCAGCTCAGTTAAAGCTTTTCGAACCTCATGAATGACACAATGAAGTCATCTGGACCCATGACCATGACCTGGGCAGCTGCTGCACCCTCCTCCAAGGTAAATGATGGAGTGTAATGGCTGGCAGGTAAAGCCTGGGAGTCATTGATCATCTCGCGGAGCAGGGAGGCCTGTGATTTGCTTGTAGAAGTGAACAACAAAAGGCAGTTTAATGAAAATGCCTCAGTGAATCATGAAATATTAATTATTAAAGATGATGATTAATATCTACCTTTGCATCTTGGTAACGATCTCCGAGACAGACGTGTCATACATAGGGTCTCCGAGCCCACTGGCCAGGGCCAAAGCTATCTTCACAGACTGGGAAAGTAAAGTAAAATAAACAGAAATATCTCATCACTTGCTGCACTTGATGCAGTTAATGCTGCATACTGATGGAGCACGTAGTACAGTACCTCTGCAATCCAGTGGTAGGTGCTGTTCCTGAGAACCTGGCTGGTGATGTTGTAGCCTTCCAGGATGTTGAGAGCAGTGATCAGGGCAACGCCTGCATGAGGCGCTGGGGCCACCATCACATGGTGTCCTTTAGAAATACCAACAGATCATTATAAGGAAAATTTAAAGATTTCTATAAGGAAACTGAGCGATTTTAGTGGCAATATGAAAATACAAAAACGTACAAAGAAATATTGATATTAAATACTAATGGAAATTAGGTGTATAAGGTATAAAGCAAAGGGAAATTATTAAAGTTCAACATACTGTAATAAACGTTTTGCAACATCTGTGCCTGGTATCCCAAAGAAAGTGCACAGTTGTACAATACAGATGTAAAACAAATTAAGAATTGTTTATAATAAATACTGAACATTGCGTCTTAAGGTTGTGACACAACAAAATAACGATCTACTTAAATCATTACTTATAGAGTTATAAATAAGTGATGACTTATTCAGCTATTCAGCTTATTCAAATATTCAGCGTACACAGAATACGTTTCATGCCCATTATTTATATCATTAGGTGTGCAGGTATACGCGCTTTACACAATTCACCATGTCAATGTGCTCATGTCGTTAGTTATTATTATGTACACATAAGAAGAACAAACTGTATTTAGAGGAACACTTTGAAAGAAAAAAAATGATTCAGGAAAATTTAAATTAATGTTATTTTAATGCACTAATCCTTATTCTATTAGCTCTGATATAAATATCATATAAACTTTCTGAAATTGAAATTGCTGAGTGAATAAACAAATACTTGGAAATATCACTCAACACTAGACTCACTTTCAAGCTCCACATGGATCACCTGACAAGCAAGGTAAAGGTCAACATTGTTTTTTTATCTTGACTCTGTATAACACAGTTCTGCTATGCTTAATCAGAGATGATTAATTCTTCGTATCAAATCTTGTATGAAAATGTGGAATGGCCCTCCTAAACCGACAGGAGAAAATTCCCGTGTGTTTTTTATCTATAAGGATTATGTTTGGGAAGAGTGGGTTCAATTATGATGCTCAATGCAAATAAAATGAGCTGCAGAAAATCTCTTATTTAACTTAAGGATTTTAAAATACTACCCTCAGGTAGTGTGTGTGTGTGTGTGTGTGTGTGTGTGTGTGTGTGTGTGTGTGTGTGTGTGTGTGTTTTCTGATCATGTTCATGTTTATTCTTGAGCATAGGACTATCTAACATAAAAGAATAAATGAATAAAATAAATCCAGACAGGCTCTTACCCTGATAGGTGATCTCTGCAGGCTGCTGTAAGACTGTACTGTAGTTTCCAAAGTCATTGTCTGTGAGCACTCCGCCTTTTGCTTCAACCTGTTAAAAATGCATAGTGACTTTAAATTTATCACAGGGAAATTGAACAGTCAAAGATATTTGAGTCATCTAGTAGACTCACAAATCTAAATGATGGTGGGGGTTATAGTTGGATACTAGTTTAGTTGTGTGACCAAAAGTTAGTATTTTCTCTTCCAACTTAAGAACAAGGACCTAGTTCCTTCTTTTAAAAGCCTGAAATGTGATGCCAGCTGACATCCCACACCCACCTCATGTCTAAGGTATGTGATATATGAGTACCACAAGTTTTTTTTTAATTCCTTTTTTGGGAGTGATTCTAATCTCTCATGGGCAACAAAACACTACTTGAGTCACCTTATACAGACATGTACAGAGAGACTATACAAGGTACAATAGAAATTCTATATTTGTTCATATTTTTAGAATCACAAAGAAACTGACACAAAGATAAACCAACAAACATTTTTGAAATAATATAACAATCCTTAATTACAACAAATTAGTTTGATAGTTACGACAAGAACTGCTTACATATTGTAAGAAAACATAACAAAATAAGATGATTGTGTTGAACTGCCTGTAAACTATGTAACATGTACTCAAATAAGAATATAATATTCTTTAAATGGGTTCAGATTACTGTAAGTAAAAAATATTTCATTTATTTAGACCACACAATTATGAGGGACAATTAATTGGCATCAGTATCTAGCTACGACACAGCTGAATTACCACCACACAATAGTTAGAATATCAAAAGATGAAGTTAAAGTAAAATAGGGTTTAAAGGGGGTAAAAATAGCTCCCTGAGGAGACAATGCAGAATTCATGACTGCTTATATAATCATAGCTAGAGACAGGGAAAAGAATTCTTCCTTACTGCCGCCACCATCTCCTGCGTCAGGTTACCACTGTAGAACTCTGGTATGCCCTTGACGGCAACAGCATCCAATATGGCTGCCAAATCAAGACGTTTGGTGAACAATCCAGAGAGGGGAGCCTGGCCGTTGGGGAAGAACAATGCCTGAAATGCATCTGAGGTGTTTTGGTCCTTAACTTTAGCCAGAGCTTCAGCTTTGGAGACACAGAAGATGAAGATAAGATCATCTCATCTTTACATTACTTCACGTTGCTGAGTAACTACACTGAGGCCTGGAGATAACTGTGACTTCACTCAGTGATTTATATTACATAACAGAATACTTACCTAAGTCATGGGTGACATTAAATCCATTTTTGGCCACGTCTGCTGCCATGGTAACTATATCACTCCATGACATCCTGGGGAATCCAAAGATTATGATTGACTTGGTTTAAAAATGTTTAAAATTCATACATACACTTTGAAATCCTCATTTTGCTGAATAAATAATTACATTACAATAGTGGGTTGGAGAGTGCGGTAACATCCTCCTCAGCAGATGAAGCATCGGTACAGTGATAATAACATAGCATCAGAGTAATTGCAGCCCAACAAGCTGGCTAAAAACAACCATGTCTTTTCTTTTAACACAGCTGGTGACGCTCTCACTCCTTCGGCTCTGAACACTGACACAAACACAGGCTGTGTCAGAGATTATATAAATAACAGCTTTTGCTATTCTTGTCTAAAAGCATAAGACAAAATCAAGGGAAAAAATATACTATGTCTTATTTATACAGGTTGTTTGAAAAACAGGAGTGGGAGAAAGATTGATCAAATTATATTTACTCTACCTGCCATAGAGCTGGTGTGCCTGGTGCATCCCACTGAGCATGCCTGGTATGCCCACCAGCAGGCCAGGCTGAAATGCAAAAATAACAGTGTCCATATGATGTATTGGTGCATAACAATGAAAAATGCACTGCTCTCTTAAAAAAAGAAAAGAAATGACAACGAGTAAGATACTGTACATTTTGATCAAGGTTAGTCCTCATCATCTCCTCGGTGATGGCAGATGGTGCCGTCTCCCTGAAATCGATGACCCTCGTTTCATTCTTACGGATATCATGCACCAACATAACTCCACCTCTGCATAAAAGATCAACAGAGCATTAAGTTAATTCCTTATTAATAATGAGCAAAGTCTAAAATCCTGTGGTAGTCCTGTGTAGATGCGTGTAAATGAGTGTGTTCTCACTCACCCTCCTATACCAGAGGTGTGAGGATGGACAATTCCTAAACAGAGGGCAGCAGTGATGGCAGCATCAACACTGGAGCCCTGCTTCCCAAGAACACTGAAGCCAAGCGATGTACACTGAGCCACGTCTGTCACCACCGCTCCCTGGTTAAAGACCTTTAAGTGAACAAACACAGAAGGGAGAGAAGCTTAATATGTCTCTGAACTGACTTAGGCATGTGTGGGAGGAGACTGCGAAATCACCCATGATCTCACATTCAGTGGTTACAAAATTACTACTGTGTGTAACACACAAAACACTACCTGTGGGTCTCCAAAGTAGATCTGCATGATGAGAGCCACTGTGACTCCTGTGGCGAAGGTGAGACAGGCTGTGATAATGACGGTCAGGCCATCTCGCTGGCAAGCGCAGTCTTCTGTAAAGGGGTCTCTGTTCGTCTCCTGCAGGGACACATCATGGCAGGCCAGGTCTGAGGCAGAGGACGGGAGACGCTGGAGGCGAGCTGATTTCAGAAACAGATCTGGGTCTGCAACGTACAACACAAACCTAAAGGCTTACAGTAAACAGGAGAGAGCAGGTGTATGTTGAATGCGTTGTGTTGAATGGCTGTGCTTATAGAGGGACAAAAACCTATTTCTGAATTCTGCATCCATGCTCTGATGTACAAAAGTTAATTAAATATCATTGGGTTACAGATATTTCAATATTTGACATACCAGTTCACTCGCTGATTCCATATTCAGACAGACGAGTGTTTGTGGAAGGTATGTTGTAGAACAGTTTGTGGCTGACCTGTGTCTTGCTCACTCAGCACGTTGTCATCATCTTTGCGAGACTTGAGGGCGTTTTCCCCGGACGTCACATCGTCCTCGGGCAGCCTGGGGAAGCTGGTGATGCTCATGTAGTCCACAGGGGAATAGGCGCTCCCCAAGGTTGTCTCCGGATTTGCATCTTTGTCCGCCACACATCCACTCGGGTACCCTGACATGATGTCATGAGCAGGACTGTGCATGACTACACAGCTAACCTATCTATATCTTGAGGGCGCGAGGGGAGGATGCTCATATTCACAGTCACATCTGAGTTCCAATCATGGATGATCACCCACACACCCTGCCTATATCATCCAGATGGAAACAAGCACTAGTGTTGCTGTGATGATGAAGCACTTCAGCTGCTTGACGGGATCCTTAACATCCCATTATTTCACAGCTGTCCTGCAGAGATTTGTAGTTTTTCTTGTGCACTTGTCACTGCAGCTGCTTCCTCCTGCAGATGGGCTCTGACAGGCCGGAGCATGGGCGTGCAGCTGCGATGATGGTGTATTTTTCCCTCTCCAATCGTGTAACCTGCAAAAAATAATACAGCAAGCATGCTTACAACATTTGACACACGAGCATGCTAACATTTAAGAAGCATTTGTCTGACCCGTCTCCATTTAACTCGCAGGACACTGAGCAAACATACGAGCCAATATTGACATGCGGCAACACGCCTGTCTCCGTCTGTCCCGCAGTCACCCGGACTGATGATGTGTTGAATATAATAAAACCCAGAGCAGCGTGTTTACCGTGTCCAGCTCCGTGGAGGCGATGTTATCTGCGTATCCTCCTGCGCCGCGCTGCCACAAGCTAACACCGATTTCTGATAATTCGACGGCCACAGACAACCCGGAGCTAACTCCGCGTTTCTCACTGCTGTTGTTAAAACGAGAGTATTCAAACCGACCGGTCCTCTGCGGTGTTGTTGCGGGTTCGAACCCAGGGAAGGTGAGCCGAGGTCAGCTCTCCGTCACCAAGACTACCGCTGAATCACGACCCAGCTCCCAACCCGACGCTCCGACACCGGGAAGTTAGCTTCACCTCCGCTCAACCGGTAGGACTTGTCTGCGAGATACAGAGAGCTGGAATTAAGGCAACACGTTGTTTTTATACGCCCTTTACTGTGACCTGGGTGACATCACTCACCCACTGTGAGCTCTAAATATAGAGTCGAGATCAAAAAGATATTCTTAAACTCTTCATATTCAAGATTTAAGGAAATGCGCCTGCTAGCTGTGGCTCCATCTTGGTGCCAGTGTCAGACTGACTTCGCAGCAGGTGATGAACCCCCCCCCCCAGGTGCTTTAAAGGTCCAGTCTGTAAGATTTGAACTATTGGCAGATATTTAATGTAGAATAATCCTCATGATGTTTTCACTAGTTCGTTTCATCTAAATTGTATGAATTGTAGTTTTCTTTACCTCAGAAAAGACCCTTTGTATTTAAATACTTTATATTTACATCGAGGGGGTCCTCTCTACGGAGGCCGCCATGTTTTTTACATTAGTCCAGACTGGACAAACTAAACCCTTTTGAGTTTTTATGACAACTGAAGCTACCACAGGTTCTTCTTTATGTTTAGAAGGTGAGGGGTGTTCAGCTGCAACATACAATTTTCAACACTAGATCTAAATTCTACAAACTGTACCTTTAAGCTGTTGCATGAGAAACTTCCCTTCAGGGTAAACTGCTCAATGTTTCCCTTGTAACGTGCATTTTTCTAAATTGGTGAACCAGATGAACAAGTTGCAGCAGGTCTACACAAAACCAGCTCCTATTACCGATCCTCTGTCCCTCCCATCACACACTTGGGCCAGTCTCCTCTGGGGCCAAGGGCCAGAAAGGGCTGGATCTAGAAGTTTCTACTCTTCCCACCCAGTTGGTCATTTGAATCTGCCAATAATTGCTTGTTGGACACAGGACTGGGTTTTAAAAAAAGTATCCTCTGATGAAAAATGTATCTTCATTTGAATGATCCCTTATCCGGTCCATAAAAGGGGCGGATCCGCTGCTTACCTAAGAATAATGCCAAACACCTTAGCTCATCTTGTCTCATCTCCTCCTGGAGAATTTGGTGAATTGTCCACCTTCAACCCACAGATCCACTGCCATGCATTAACAACCTGTAGGTCAAGACAAGATTATTAAAGGGCTCAATTACCAACAGGACAAAACATGACAATGGCCCTGAGGCCACCAAAACACCAGCTCCACACCACAAAATAACATCCAAATCTGCAATGATAGATGTTATTCTGATTCTTGGCTGTTATACTTCATCCCACGTCTATACATACGTCATCTTGCGTATTTCCTCATTGTTTGCTTACTTTTATTTGCTCCCCTTTGTCAAGCCTCTAATCAAAGTCAATATTCAGTAAATTGTACATGAGAGCACTCCACCCTTATTCACTTCAGATACTGTGTTTACAACACATTACCACACCCGTCTGTTCACTTCTTCCCCTGTAAACTTACAGCTACATTTACACTATCATCTCTGAGGTAGATGGTGGTAGAAGGTTAGATATCTGTTCTTTTAGTAAGTATTTCCATTTTAAACTTCTGTATACTTCACTCGATCTTGTTAGGAAATATTATACTTTTTACCAGCTATACACTAATACATTTATAAAATATGATGTATTGTTAAGGATTTAACTTAATTTCTATGAATCAGTGAGAGTTACTTCCCCATCACGATGATATAAGACATATAATGTAACACTCACAGGGTCCATTCTGTGATGTTTTGAGTACATTTGGTACTATAATCACATTTGCTTATAATAGTTGCTTTTTCAAATTTAAGGACAGTTTAATGCTGATTTGCTGATTTGCCTGTTACAATTAGTTTTTTATTCTTTTACTTCAATTTTCTGAATAGTTCTACTAGGGCTGGACATACAACAATATCAATAATTTCCACAATCAAATTTTCATCAATAGCAATATACCTAAAGTTCTATATATATTGTTTGTGCATTGTGTAAGCACAGTGAGGAGGTTTAACACATAACTGTTTATCAAGTTTAAAACCACAACCTTTACTCTGTAAAAAACATTCTTTGGACTTATTAGAAATAATAATGGGTCATTTAACGTGATAATTATCTATATTAACTGATGTGGAAAACATTTTTTGGCCACATCGTGCTGCCCTATCTTCCACTATTGTTGACAATAGATCACGCACTGTTTGCTCTAATCCTGTTCACTTCTGTTCTCCCAGATGAAAATAATGACACAAGATTCAGGCGTCAACCTGAGTATTTATTGTTGTTTTTTTTCTTTTTTTTTCTTTTTGGCGGGTACCTGTGTTTTCTGAATGGATGTTGGAAAAGCCATCCGATGACTTTTTGCATAGTCTTGCCTGTCAGTGGACGACTGCCCACTTAGGGGATGGAAAACTCAGTACATCACAAAAACCATGCAGAGATAGTGAAAGGCACAATCACCATAGATATCAGATACACCAAATTTTATATGTTTATATAGTTCATTGTTTAATGGGGGGAGGTGGGTGTACTAATTGAGATGTAACATGGGCAAAACCCCAAGTGTGTTTAAGCTGCCATCATTTCAGGGCACAACATAAAACATATGAAACTCCCCAGACATTCAACGGCTTTCATTTAAAACATCCTATTGGTGAATGACTGTTCTAATACCTATATTGGAAAATACAAGCATATTCTATTATATTTTTCTGATACACTTAATTTCACTTATTCTTAAATATAACTATATGTCTCCTTTCTCGTCCTCTCCCTGACCACATCTCCCATTTAATATAAGTTACCCCCACACTGGGTGACCGCTCACTCTCCCCATTATTGGATGACCACACATTTTCAAAAATCACACACAACATACTGACAACACTTCTGCCATTTTAACATGACATTGGTGAGAAAGGGAAGAAATAAAAACATGACAGGATTGCAGCGGCAGAGGTATCTGTGGTGATATATTTCGTACATACACACACTCACACATCCACATGTGCTCTCTCATTATTATTACCCTGTTTGCACTCTGTACCTACTTTTATTCACACAACACATGAACAAAATTCAACCTCTTAGGCACAGTTAGAATAGCGAGCCCCAAAGGTGTGAGGAAGCCTAGCAATGAGATCACTGCTGTATGTGTGTGCATGTGTTTGTGTGTGTATATGTGTGTGTGTGTGTGTGTGTGTGTGTGTGTGTGTGTGTGTGTGTGTGTGTGTGTGTGTACACAGACTCATCACCTCAGATGCATTCCCTTCACTGTTCAGTGGAATAAACTGGATACATAATTTCATAATTATATTATAAATTAACAGAAACATTTAAAAGGAATATTGGCAGAAATGAAAAATGTGTGTTATGTGACTCACAGGAAAATATTTTTTTAAACAAGAAAAGACGTTTCCATTTTCCAAACACTCCGGATGAATACCCCAGTCTCTCTGTCTTTTGAACGCACCAGTTTAGATTGTATTAAAATCATGTCATTGTTCTGTGTCCTCACCAGCGACCGTACAGCAGATGCAGTGCTAAGTGAGCCCTCTGGAGGGTAATGTTTTCTATGGCACATCAGCTCTGAGTCTCGTGCTGTTTGTGTATGGTGCATCTCTGGATGACACTGACGCACCCCACGTTAGGCCATTGAGTCGCCCTCTTGGTTTTTTAATGAGCAGAGAGAGGATTCTCATCAGTCCCATTGGACACAATGACTCAGATCCTGAGAGGCTTTGACATCTAACGAAGCGTTATAAAGTGTTTTTTTTTGTTTTTAATATTTACAAGAGAAATAAAACGATCATTATTTATGTACTTTTTTTTGTAGAGTTTCTAGCAGTTTATGTGTCGGTACACCTTCTCACACACAGTTTGAGCCAAAACGAAAAGAAGAGAAAAAAAACTCCACAAATAAAAAACAAAAAATAAAACAAGCACACGGCACACCGCTATAACTTTGACAAAAAATGAATGACATTGCAAACTTACATCCATGTCTCAAATAATTTACAAACATTAGCATACACTTCAGCACCATTGTTTACTATTGTTGTTGAACACATATCAGTAAGCTAGATCTTTAAGTGGACACTGTTAGAGCTGGATGTGCAAACGAGAGAGGGACGGACAGTAATGGAGGAGATGTTAAATGTGATGCACGTCCATAAGAGGGATGTAGGGGAAGATAGATGCTTGCTGTTGGGCTTTAAGGAGATAGTTACTTCCTTTCTTTTTCCCAACGAGTGTGTTCTTGAAAGTCAGCGACTTCTTTTTTTTAAATGAGAGGGATTTATGTGTGAATAGATGGTACTTTCTTTCTGTAGCTAACACAGCACACACTGTGGGTGAGCGTGTGTGCTGGGCACGTTGCTTTAGTTTACAGACAACACGTTTAATGATCGCCATGCTTTGTAGTTATTTTGAATTTGTCGGCTTCAAAAGCCAAATGTTGTATTTTCTATTTGTCTGGCAAGAACAGACTTTCTTTTCTTTCTTTGCTGGAACCACGCAGAGAGATAGAGACTGTAAATAATATAACCTCAAAATGATAAAATGAGCAGAAAACAGAGCAACAAAACAAAATAAAGAGTTGCCATCAATACCGCTCTTTACTTTCTGTAACTTGCTATACCCTGTAACCCAAAGGCAAACTCACTGCTCTCCTAATTCTTCTCAATAACAATATTATGGCTGCCTATAGCACAAAGTTCCATCTGCACAAAAACGACTACCTTAATATCAAGAGAAACATAAAAACAAGAGTTATTTGCGAAATGCTCTGCGGCAGAGTTTGATGTTGTATTCAACTTCCTAAAATTCACAGGCTGCTCTGAGGGTTACATAACACTTTCCCACGACCATTTCATATCGAGCACATTTTAATACTACCTAGTTCTAATTCTTCTCATAATATATGTTACTCTTTAGTCTGTTTTGCTCCTTCTTTCACCATCATCTACTTGCTCTCCACCTTCCACCAAAAGCGAGAGGAGAGGAATCTCACCGCATTTTGTTTCCTGTGATGAAACTGGGTTGCCACATGCTGCGGCTCCTTCATCTGTCACTTTGCAAACTTGAGGGAAACAAATGTCAGAGTGATCTTCCTTTCACTCTCGCCACACACGGTATATCTCTCCACTATTTCTGAATAAAATTAAAGTTAATTTTGTAGGAATTAAAGCTCTGAGGACATGATGAGTTGATTTCACTGAAAAGATGCTAAGACTTAACTTGTCTCTATCCCAAATGGATTCCAGCAGAAAGGTCTGTTCCTCCATCGAAGAGTAAAGTACACTTGGCTGATTCAATTACAAATCATTATATCCACATTTAACCAAGTACTTTGGAGATAATGTAATGGCTGAAAAAAATAATAACATGCCTTGAGGAAGAGTGGAAGAAAGGAGAATATTGTTATCAAGACAGGAAAGAAAAATTAGTATAGCTAATTTTTTTTTGCCGTTTTTCAGACATTATTGTTACTAAGTACCCGTGTAAATATTTTTTCAAGACTTTTTTTAGTTGTTTGGATACTGCAATGGACAAAAAGTATAATGCAATAAAGATCTACACAGATGAACTCAGAGGGCTTGGTTCATAACGGCAGAACAGGGAATAAAACTACCAGGTGGAGCCAGTTTGTATACAAACCAAAACAAGAGCTACTGTTCGTATCTGATTTATCATGATATAATGTGCAGAAATTAAAGCTTTATGCAGTGGGGTCACTATATTTAATCATGTGCGTCTAATGCCCTCAGGTTGAATGACGCCCCCTGCTTGTTCAGGAGTTTAGTGGCAGACGTTACGCTTGCTGGGCTGGTGAAGAAAGGTGTTTCTGGCGTGCGCTGCGTGGCGAGGGACCTGCTCCCTGGTGCGGTTTTGGCGTTGGATGCGGTTGCGGCCCAGATGACGCCTCTCGATGCGAGCTTTGCCACGCTGGACCCTGGCCACTTGGGTGACCTTGGCCAGGGCTCCGGCCTGGGCAGCTGCTCCACGGCTCACCCTGGTGGGGATAGTGCTGCGGGTGGCGGGGGCAGCAGCTGGTTCAGTCACTCTGCTTCAGGGAGAGAATAGGTGTGATTGTTGTGACAGTCAGACGGACGCTAAAAAAGGAGGTGAAGGTCTTTTTTTCTCACCTCATGCTGCTCGCCGGGCTGACAATGCTTTCCTCTCCCACCACAGACAGGTTGCTGTTGGACACCATGGAAAAGTTGTTTGGCGAGACGTACACAGACATGCTGGGGTGCTCGATGAGCAGGTCCTCCATCGGGCTGGCCTCTGCTGTAGCTCCCTCTGCAGTGAAACAGGGGGGAGGGGTGACAAACCAGCTCTCATCCATGCAGCCTCTCTCTGAGCCTGCCCTACTGCTACCCCCACTGCCCCCACACTCACTCCCAGAGCCAGGGGACATCGACGGGGTGGAGGAGGGCATGGACAGTCTGGCCCGCCTTGGCAGGGTCACGGGTGTAATGGCACCCAAGTCTGATGGGCTAGCGCTAGGGCAAGACAGGGGGTCTGATGTTGCTATTGCAATTCGTGCCTGACCTTTATGTGTCCTACGGCGCTTGTTAGGCGGGTGGGGAATGGGGAATTCAGTCCTTGCATGTGTGTCTTGATGATGTGATAGGTTACTGTCGGGGGATGATTGTGCAATTAGCGGAGCTCCCGTCTCATCCTCTGCCTGAATCATGCTGTCAGACTCTTCTGAGCACATGGCAGCAATGAAATCAGGTGATGGGACAGTCAATAAGGACAGGTGGAAGGGGCGAGTTGCAAAAAAAGGATGCAAGTATGGTAGATTTTCAAAAAGTCATGCGTGTTGAAGGGGGGCAATTTTAACAGGGATCACATACGCACGCGCACACATACCGGTGTGGAGAATGTGAGGGTGTTTAAAAAAATTGGAGGGGAGGAAGAAGAGGGGGTAAGGAAACACAGAACATAAAAGAGTCACATCATTAGTTGTGCTGACCCTCTAAGGTGGTGATTTATGTCAGCGACATAATGTTTGTCTCGACTCTGCTGAGAGCTACTTTTATGTTGCTTTGGATGATTGGTTGGCTTCTGAACAGGTAAAGCAAAAATTTCAAACACTGGCTTTGTCATGATTGAGATCATAAACAAAGAGGAAGGAGATGATAGTTCACAGAGAATCATGTGTTTTGAACTTCTGCGCCATGCCCCGAAGGATTCTTCACCCCACCCCATACCTTCTATTCACTTTACACTTAATGCAATTATATCAGGATTATAGATAATGCACTTAAATGAGGATGATAGACATGCAAAAGAGAACAGATGTATTCCTCAACTTCCTAAATGTTTGAACAAGAAACATAATTTGATTATTCCTCAAATCCAACCCCACACTCCCTCTGCTGATACTCACCGGGTAGATTGACGAGCATCCATCCCTCCTCGTCAGCCTCCGTCACGCAGGGGTTGGGTCCCTTCAGCTCAGCTGCGACCTCCTCCACCTCCCCAAACAACAGGTTGCTCAGACGTTGAAACATGACTGCTGAAACTGCCAAGTGTCGATGACTCGGGTGCGATTTGTTGTCCACAAAAAAAAAAGCTTTAGCTGCCTATTTGAATTTGTTATTTGTGTTTACGTTATCGCTTGTTGCTGTTGTATGCAATGCTTTGTCTGATCTTTTGAGTCTTTTTCTCTTGAAGCCCTTTGCTGGATCTCGGTTTTGACAAACTGGAGTGGACAGGCTTCTATAGTGCAAATGTAAGGTTTCACTTGGTTTGTAGCAAAGGCCTGGAGAGAGGGAGAGAAAAGGGGAGAGGAGAGAGTGGTTAGTGGTCGTAGGGTGCATCACTGTCAACACATCTTAAAAAAGCAACACTCATTTGGGTTACAGCATTTCGATGTGTTAAAATATCAGGTTGACACTAATAATATGAAGTATACAGAAACGGTATGATTACGTTAACATTGTTGGATACAGCTCATTAAACCATCTGAGAATCTTACAGATGAAGCAACAAGTCTCCCAATTTGACTGAAAGTAAGCAAAGGCAGAAAGAACACTTTGCATCCCTAAATAACTTAAAATCTTCAAAGGGGAGTTGTACTACTTTACACTTGATGATTAACCTTTTATTGTGCAGTACAACAAGCGAGAAAAACTCAAATCATTTTTGACGTATTATTACCAACATGTGAGCACACTGAGTTACACATGCAGTAGACGACATTGTATATTTATTTGAAGTGATTTGAACGTGAATCCCCCCTTTAACTCTGTTTTGGTCTCAACCAACTCCTAAGGAATATACGTATATGACCCTGTAGCTGCTCATTCCTCCACTGTGTTCACCAGCTAGTGGCTAATGTTGTCTGTCTGCTAAGAAAAGAACCTACAAACAAATTCCCGGTCCATCTGAAAAGTTAGTGACGACGATTAGAGCAATGAGAATGACCTTAAGCTGTAAAGTTGGAGGCCTGAAAAACCACAAGACTCGAGTTGCTAAGGGAAACTTAAGAGTTTGGTTTCATTATCCATGGGTTTGTCATGACAAGTGAACAGTTTCACACACGCACTTGGTCATTTGATCCATTGTTGGTATAAAATATTGATCACAGTGGCATTTAAGCTTGATTATAGATTTGGGGCTTATTCAAAAGACTAGAAAGGTCATGCACTGCAGGTCAAACCCATAAAGGAGTATCTACTGGTTCTTCAATGGAAGAGAAATTAGTAGAGTTCACAATATTGCAGTAAAATTATATGTTGTTATTGCAGTAGTATAATATCTCAATTTGAACTTGCATCTTACAGTTTGTGCCCTTAATGGTAAGTTAAAGTGGGAGAGGAACACTGAGTATGTGGTAATCAGTATGTGAAGGAAGATTTTCAGCCAGTAAGGAGCTGGTGGACAATGGCTGCAGTCCCTTCCCCCATGACATTTAGATAACCAAGTCTCAGGACAGCTGGACAGGCTGAAGAAGAGGAGGTGGAGGTGAGACAAAGAGCCAGACTAACAAAGGCTAACAAAGTAAATTGAGCACAATGTTGAAACAGGGCAAAAAAAGAGGACGGAGGTAACATAGGCAAAGGGCAAGTGACCTACATGTAAATACAATGATGTAATGTTGAACAGATGTTTTGAACAGCTATAGCTGACCAGGCAAACCCCTATATGTTCAAAGGCCGAGTTCTATTTACTTGAACTATGTGAGTGCAGAAGAGGCAATGACTGAAGCGATCAGAGAGTACAAGACCTCTGTCAGTACCTGCTGACTAAGCTAATGAACTTTAAGCTAAATGACTTTTCCCTCATAGGTTTTATCTCCATAATCATTTTATTTGTGTCGGAGTTTCAAGGTTGTAGAGGTTTAAATTCCAGTTCATAACCTCTCTAATTTCTCAGACCATTTGTAAATACCACAAGTGCTGCTGACACTTAACTAGTCTACCAGCTACAGAGGTTAGTAGAATTCAAGGAGCACAGATTAAAAGGCAAAACTAATTATGCATGGAGCAGAGAGACATGCATGAATGCTTGTTGGGAGGCTGACGCTTTTTGTCCTTATTTGGAGAATCGTCATGGTGATAATTCTGAAGAGACATCCTAATTGCGACAGTACTGTATGTGCTCCTGAGATTACTTCTCAAATGGAATTACAGTTATTTTAACAAATAAAGTCAGTGTCAATGAGTCTGTTTGCATCCGTGTGATTGAAATAAGAAGACAAAGTGAGAGACGAATGAAAGGGGGTAGAAAAATGGAATAACAAGAAGGTTTCCAAAAAAATACCTCATGATGAGGCTTTTACATTGAATAAAGGCTCTCCGTTGTATATTGTAATACTCTAGATCGTTTGACTTAATTTTGCCCATCTTCTCAGGTCATGTTTTAAAAAGACTTTCCAGTCAATTCATTAAAAAGGCCCAGTGTTGTCATACTTTTGGGGATTTTGCTGAGTTACTACGAACTGAGGCGCTGCAGTCCCTCCTCAGCACTGAGACTGATTTTAATGCATTCCTGGAATAAAAACACTTTAGTCATGAGACTGTGACCAATAAATTCAGATAAACAAATTTTTGGTGAGAAGGCCTGAAGGCTGCTTTGCATAGGGTGCAGTACACAGAACACGCACATTCAACATGGAGTACAAGCAAACACTTCCTCAATAAATATTTTTGTATTAGTTTGGGCTTTAGTCTGCACAAGCTAATTCAGGGCTATTTGTCTGTAGTGTAAATAAAGCCTGTCAATAGAGGACAAATAGCCACTGATATGGATTTTATCCTGGAGGAGAGAGTTCCTGGATATATGGCGTAGGTCATGAAGATGCCTTCTCTAACAACTGGCTAATTCAGGTTTTTCAACCCCTTTATTAGTGTGTATTGCATTAATTATTAGTTTATGGGTCCAGAATGACTCCTGCATATTTATGATGAATTTAATATGAATCTGATAGGACACACTGTCTTATTCTATTCTTAGGATGCCTATTAACATCTAGCCCGGGACTAACCCTGACTCATTTTTACTTCAGCCAAGGAGGTTGTGTTTTCACCCCTGTCTGTTTCAATTTAGCACCATAATCCTTCCACCAAGGAGTGGATTTCCACGAAACTTGGTGGAAGGTTGGGCCAAGGTGTGGATCTGGATCAGGAGACAGATCCAGATTATTCTTTATTTCTTTCTTTATAATTTTCATTGATTTCTCTGAGAGTAATTTATGGATCCTGATAAATTTCTCGTGTTTGTAGTTTCCCACTGATCAGTGAGCAGTTTACCCCATCCTTATGTGTGCATGTGTTTATTATATGCTTGTGGTCAAAAGCCTCTGAGTATACCGGAACATCTGCACATCCTGATATGTGGAGAGAGATCTTGACTTTTTGACTTATTTGGCAATGGTCCTTTAAAAAAAAAGTGGGAGGGGTGAAGTGCGGAGTGGGAGGGGACTCACGAAATAAAAACAAGACGCATGTGGCGTCATGCCTACGTCACTGACGCTAACAGAGAGGCTCCAGCTTCTTTAGCGACCGGAGGAAGGAAAAATAAGTCCGAGCAGCAAACATATCAGAAATATCCGATTTCTCAGAGCGTATGATCGATCTGTTTGGCTCCTTATGTCCGATCTGCAGCTTTACAACATTTAATCCATCGATGAGCGAGTGGCTGCTGCTGTCGACGGTCATCTACTGAATCCAGTGACATTATGACATTTGAAATATGGTGCTCACAGCGACAGTCAGGTTTGGAAAACACACTGGAAACCTGGGTATGTGTAATACAATAATAAACCGACATCGACTGACAGCCGGGAGAGTGAGAGCAGGGGATCCAGGTTAAACATGAATTATCCGTATAAGCTCCCGGCTGAAGGGTCAGAGCAATGACAGTTGTGGCTCTGCGACTGTGCACGAAAGACATCGAGTGGAAAAGCTCGGGACGACACAGTGAAGACGGTGGTTTGACTGTCCATCATCAGCAGCTGTGTGGTATATGTAACATCGGCTCTGTGCACATCAACATCCGCCATCGACCTGACTCCACATCAGCATATATTTGCTGCAGTTTGCACAAACAACGAGCTGCAGCTGTATGTCCTACACGTAAGAAGCCTGGTGTTATTTTCCCAAGCGATGGACGTCGAGTCGACCTTATTAAACCGTTTGGGTGTTTGCTGCTTTCAAATCTACCCATGACCTAATAATAGGTCATCAGCGGCTACAAGGCACAGCAGTCAAAGATAGGTCCTCTGTGATGAGGCAGCGTCACACTCAACGTTTCATCATAATAATAACATACATGTCGTATGATTTCATAATGTAGATAAGCCTGTGAGGAATGTTTCACTGGCAGACACATACGATTCCTCTGAGACCACACACTACCACACAAAAGACATAACACAAATGTGAAGCAAATAAGAAATAAAGAATTGCTTACCTGCCTTTGCAATGTTATTCAAGTTGTAAACGAGATCTCACACACAGTAGAAACGACAACAATTCTTAAAGCATAGCTTTAGATAGCCTTAAAGTGAGGTAGATGAAAACACCGTTATACAAAAATAAAAGGCTTTCTTCTCAGAAGAAGGGCTTCGTGTAAAAATCTTGTTTTTTTACACTGATGTTTTCAGATCATAACATCTGCAGCTTTTTTTTTTCTCTGCTTTCCTCTTCTGTTTTTTTTTCCGCTGCAGATTTGGCCTCTGTTTATTGCTGCCTCCAGCTGATCCTCGGATCAGAATGTAGAACGTACAAAACAGCTGATTGTGAGATCACAATACTCCGGGCCCCGCCCACAGGCCCCGCCCACACCAAACAAATCGACCAATCGGAATATTACACAAGCCACAAGCCAAGGGCCTCTAGGTAACAGGGGGTGGGGGCAGGGCGAGAGAGGAGCTGTCAACCTGCGCCCAGATGGGACTGGTGGTGACTTCACCCGGAGACTGATCCCTGATCGGCCTCCACTTCCCCCGGCCCTGCTGTTTGCAGCCCAGGCTGGGGGGATGGTAAACTGATCCACAGTCAGCTCTGAAACAGCTTCAAACACAAGCCTTCTACAGCAGGGAGGGATGAAGATCTGTTGACAGCAAAGTCATAGAATTGTCAACTCGGTGGTTCATTAAAAAAAATTCAGGTAGAGCTAAAACTTCTGCTACTTAACTGATATATCACCTGCTGAATAGACTCTGGACACCGGTTTAGGGATTTGTTTTTTTGTTATGTGTTGTTGCACTGCACAATTCTCATTTTCTTTTATTATTTTTGTTTTATATTCATTTTTATTGTCAGACATTAATAAGAAGCAGCACAAGCTATTTTGCAGATTTTTCTCCTGTGACAGAGCCTAAAATGAATCTTGTACAGGAACCTGACACTAACATTAGATCCTCAAATTGTATTTATAGTCCCATTTTATAAACTACATTAATCTTCCCTGTCCAGTGATGCTGGTGATGTTACTTTAAATTTCATTTGTAAATAGACCTCTCTCCCTTCCCCCCTCAACATCCCTCTTCTCGGTCCGCCTCGTGGGGAGATCCAGCCAATCAGATCGTTATTTTCTGAATGCAGCATTTGAGTGACCAATGGGCTGTGGAGAGGTTTTTTTCCACAGCCCCCCTGGTGGTCACTCTTACGCACTGCAGTCTGCAAAAGCTTGACGAAGAATACCCACTGCCTTTTATTATTGCAGATTGTGCAAACTGATGACTATATGCGTGTGTGTGTTTTCATGTGTGTGTGAGTGTGTGTCTCTGTAGGTTAACGATCATCCAACCTGTCTTGTGCTTTTATGAAGTTTATAAGATAATACTCATAAACTTCAAGACCTCTGTATCTATGATTACAGGTGGTGTGTGTTTTTTATTTATCATTTTATTGGACCATATAATGCTACAGCATCAAAACTGAAAAACAGAATAGAGCTCCTCTCTACAGAGGCTGCCATGTTTTTTTTACAGTAGCCCAGAATGGACAAACTAAACACCTTTTGAGTTTTTATGACAATTGAAAGCTACCACAGGTTCTTTTTCATGTGTAGAAGGGGAGGTAGAGATGAGGGGTATTCAGCTGCAACATGCAATTTCAACACTAGATATCACTAAATTCTACACACTGTACCTTAAACCATGGACCTTCTCACAAATTAGGACACCAAAAAAAGTTCTCAAAAGGAAGGAAGGAAAAAATAATAATTGAGACCAACCGTTTCACAAATGATGGCCGGTAACCCTAAGAAAGAACATTTTTATAATAGAAAATGAAATTAAAATGAAAGTCTTTCAGTAAACATGGACTATGTGCACTGAGCAGGACAACCAGAGCAAACTGGTTTTTGAGATCTTTGATCTGCACAAAAGTGGACGGATCACCCAAAGCGTTGGTGAACATTACCCTGAACCGTGCAAGGGTTCAGGATTCCTATTGTGTGTCCTCCCTGCCATTTAAAACACAGGGCACCCACTGGAAAAGAACAAAGCACAACATTTAAGAATGAATTCTACATTACACTGTGTAGAATAATACATTTTTATGTTCCTGCTTACGTTCTGCACCTTTTTACTATTAAGCCACTGGTCAAGTAGATCCTGTAGTTATAGAGATAATTTAATATCTACATCTGATTACATCATAGTATACTTTACACTAACTCGGGCATTTGCTAAAGTTCAGCTAAGGGGGACTGACGGACTCTTGATGTACAACATATGACTGTGAGCCTGAAATGTTTTGTTCAGGACTTTGCATCAGACTCAGTTTATCTCATGTATATACACATGAATGTGCATCTGAGTAATGTGGACTGAATGAACCACACCTAACAGGGCTATGTCTCCAGATGTCTGTTTCTTTTTAATCACATTGTTTTTCTGGCAGACCCGTGTTATTGCCGGACCAGCGAGAGACGACAGCAAGAATCCAGCACGGTGAGAGCTTTTCAAAGGCAGGATGATAAGGTTTCGGCCTATACAGTTACCAGGTGCTAGGCAACTTGCAGAGACACTCGCACACAAACACACACACATACCGTCACCCTGCAGTGATGATAATGATGATATTCAAACCACAGTGACATGGTGAACACAAATATTTAGCAAGAACAGTTTGTGCATCCTGCGTGTGTGCTTACCAACTAATAAACAGAAGTCACAGGCCTGACAGAGCTGGTCATGTCTTCGTGGCTCGTATTGCCATGTCATTGTCAAAATTATCCTTTAGTGTATTTGATTACAACCACATCATGCACAAATAATTGGTGCTTGAATACACCGCTCAAGGACACAGAAAGAGAAGAGGTTATGGTTTTCCATTGTCTTCTTGTTCTCCTTTATGCATGCCGCTGGTTTCACTGAAGTTGCCTGGCTTCACGGGATTCCCACAGTTTGCCGAGCAGGGTTGGAAAAATGGGTGAAAGGTTACAGCAATGTCTCCCCTTCCCTCCCCTCTCTGCCTGTGTTCATGAATGTGACATGAAGCTCTTGTTTAGCAGCATGCCTGCCCTTGCTCCAGCTGACACCACTAACACAGGCATGTGCGACCTCCAACCAATCAATCCCTGGGCTGCAAACGCTGGTATTTCTTTTGCGGTTGGAGACCAAGGTGTGGCAATGGACTGGTTGAATCAGAGGTCTGGCTTGTTGTGTGTTGATACTTGAAGTACATGAACTTCCTTGTAAAAACAGAAGAAAAAAACTCTTGACAGCTCATCTGCTTCCTTGAGCGTGGACAAAACAGATCCTGATGGAACACAGTCAGTTACACACAGTTGGAAACAGCACTGGCAAGTGTTGTTCACAGAGGCATCTTCTGTCATTTATGATTTTCTAAGTAATTGAAATTATTTAAAAAATTGACCATCAGCCTACTTGCAGGAATGCATTTTAAAAAGTGGCACTCCATAGTGGCTATTCAAAACATGGAGAGAAGGTAGTAGAGGTGTGTCCACTCGCGTCCCTTCATGTCATGTCAGCAAACTGGCATTATTTTCCTGGTGAAATATAATAAATCACATATAAATTCCAAAAACTTCAAAACTCTGTCAGATCATCTCTTTTTCTTTTGTTGACTTGCTTTGCGAACCCACTCAGCACTTCTGACTCCTGGTGCCTCCCTCTCCTCTCAGGCTTCTTGCCACTGCATGGATGGCTGCTAGCAGATGATAACAGCAGCACTGGAAGATACAGAGCTGCTCTCTGCTGCACCACCACATTACAGTGCCAACAGCAGGGCAAAAGGCCCAAATATAGATACCACTGAGCCACAGCAGGGAACTTAAATGGGGAAAGAGCAAAGCAGCAAATTAAATATATAATGTATGTTAATTTAAATTTGTAAAGTAACTGTCAGAAAAATAAATGTTGTGACATAAAAAGTAAAGGTGTTGAGTGTCTGGAAATGTTAACTCTGAAGTACAAGAACGTCAAATTTGCACTAAATTACAGGACTTGAGTAAATTCCTCCACATTCAAACAATGTTACCTTCCAGTGAAGCTTATGTTTACCATGTTGTCCATAGTCTAACATGTTCCATGCTAACACTTGCTGCTAACCTGAATAAATACTATCAAGGCCTTTTTTTAGTGAAACACAAACGTTTCAACCTCAGTGATGCTGAAGTAATCTCTTCTCATGTAACTAACAGCGCTAATGTGAATAAAAGTATTTCCCAAAAAGTCCCAAACGAACACCGGTGAACGGATTTCTATCTGCATCCACACCACAGTGTTCGAAATGCACACTTTCATGTAAACGTAGGTGAAAAAACATTTTCTGCATTTATGATGCTGCTGCTGCCAAAAAGAATCCTTTACTGCTGCAACCCTTTAATGTCTGCTCCAAAAGTGTCTATGTGCATTGTGTGTGTGCGTGTGACAGACAGTGAAAGTTTATATTTCACTTGAGTATCTATTTACTGATACTTAACTACATTCAAATGAATAAATATTTTACTTTTTTATAGCTCAGTTAATTACAAACGACCTTTCATAGATTTGAAATACAAAACCACCATTTGTAAAGCTCCATCTGGGGCAAGGTGTTATGATTTAAGATCTTATTTATCCCCTGGTATTCCCTTGTGATGCTATCCACTATAACGTCTGGAGGCCTGTGGCCTTCGTTTATCTCCTTCTGCATCTCATGTTGCATACAGTCTACACTGGCAGCTTTCCACAGCACCCTACAGTCCTTAGACAACCCTCCACCACACACACTTGTCAACTAGTCCTTAGTCAGCACAACACAGAGGCAACATGGTGTCACGGATTCAAATTTACACAACAAAACCGGAGCCCCCCCCCCACACACACCATTCTCCTGCGAGATACAGGCCTGTATGTTTACATCCAGCAGACAGAGGGGGAAGGAGGCAAGGACCCTGTCACTCCTTTCCTTTCCTACTCTCCCCTGCAGCCCTCCTGAAGGCTTTGTGCCACATGTGCATCCCATGGCTCTGTCCCTACAAGGCTAAAGCAAACAGGTTCTGTAAGTGGTGTCCTTGGCAAGCGTGTGCTGATAAACACAGACATGAGTGGGGACAGGCTGTGCTCTCCAGAGGAGGGACGACAGCCCCTCGTTCACGCTCCCCTGGAGAATATTATGAAACTTAACAAGGGGGCTATTTTAAATTCCCCAAAGGATTATGGAGAAAGCGGTGAGCTGCAGCTGCTTGTGTCTGACTGAGCGGACCAGTGTGTATTCTGTGGCCTGTGCGTCTTTGATGATG